GGACTTTTGATCGTGAAGACTGTTGATTACATGTTCCTCCTTTTGTTTCATTCCAGAAAAAAAATTTACATCATACATGTAAATAGAGTATATTTAAATTGAAATTTTCAATTGCTACTAATGTAAACAGCATTTATGACCTATACCTATGAAAAAGTATTCAAAATATTTATTCTGTTAATTAATGAAATTAATGTGCCAGTACAATTTCATTTATCTTTGAATTTTAGATTGTTTGATTATACTCCCCGTCCAACTAAGAACAGTTAAAAAAAACACTCGCACGGTTTTTAACTTTTTTCTTTAGAGAGAATATTTATTTAAAATTGTAGAGAGATGGAATTTCAACATGATCGTGTCAGTGTCGTATAATTCCAAACAGTCAATACTTTGAAAATGTATGCCCTCTATACTGAACACTTAAGTATGTTAAATAAATACAAGTACCATTATAATAATGATATTCAATATCTAAATCACATAGCAAACCTTTCAGTTTGTGAAATAACATCCAATCAATGTCTATATCTTCACAACAACTAAAAATAATACTTATTTTATGCTAAATGTCATGTCTGATAAAATCTTTTAAAAATGGGCAATTATGAATATAGTAAGATTTACCGGTAATTAAATCACTCTTCTAATATGAGAGATATCTATATATCAAAATATTTTCAAATTTTTTGAGGAAGTTTTATCTCCAACTGCCGAAGAAGTACGCAAACACACTGTATGTAACTTTGCAAATTTACAAAGCTTTAGCAATGAATGAAATAAGGTTAAAAATAAGTATGAAATATTTCCATATGGGAGATTACATGATTACGTTGATATTGACAAATAAATATTTTAATCTGCAAAGCCTCAAAGAAAACATATCTTTATATAGCTAAATAAGGGTTAAAAAATAAAGAGATCCAAATAAACATGTACATGTCAATGTATGATAAAGCATATTTTTAAAAGAATAAACATATATCTTAAGAATCTTTACAATGAGTACTATTGATAATAATTCCGAAAATCGAATCTATCCAAACATGAACAGAACCAAAAACATCGATTTCATAAATTTTCCACGTAAAGCATTAACGATGAATTTATTGAATAACTATTAAATGCTGCATTAACTTCGGTAAGATGCAGAATAATTATACTTTTCATATGAATAATATATAAACACATGTATTTGAAGAAATCGTGATCATAAGTCCATTCAACATAATTCACAAAAAGTGTAATTTTCATCAATATACTTCCTTTCAACATTTTGAATGTGTTTATATCATTTGAAAGGGTGCATTTGCAAAGGTTTATTGATCACTGTATTTCGAAAGCTAGATAGGATGAAATTACGAAACTGAACACAGTTTGAAAATCGTGGAAACTATCAATTGTAGCAATGGCAACTCAAAGCAATGCATTCCATAACAGAGAGCATATTTAACATTAGTTTTTGTTGTATCAGAAAAGCCAAAGTAATAGCATATTTTTCTTTACATTTTATTCATTAAAACAAAACATTAACTCTGCCATCATTACTATTAAGGTAGATGAAAAATAAAAATAAGAAGTACATAATTTTTTTTCATGAATTACCTTTTGTATCTCTGTATTTTTATATGCTGCCCATAGATAGATAAATCCGCTTTAAGTTTATGGCATATAAAATTTTCAAAAAAAAAATGAAACATTTTGATATTATATCTCAATTAATTAAGTAATTTTTGTATTTAATTTATTCGTTTTTTACAATCTTTTATATATTCAGTAGACATTCGTCTTTGATTGAAAAACTTGAGCGGATATTTTTCAATTCTTATCTCCATTAGAATTCGACAAAGCATAATTTAATTTTATGTTTATGCACAAAATATGTTTATGAATTTTTATGAATTAAATATAGGCATTTATACCAATTAAAGTAAACTTTGGAAGTATAGTTAAAAAATATTTATATATGGTGTAAGCGTCAAGCATATATTACATGTAGGTATATTACAAAAAAAATTATTAATTTCGCTCGCTGTTTGGTGTTTCTCAGATCAAAGAATATCTACCCCAAGATTCTGAAGGATTCTCCCGTTTTTCTATAATTTATAATCTGAATTTGAAATATTTTTTAAAGAAGACGTTTTGTATGATTTAATACGCAGATTTTAGGTTAGAGGATAAATGCACTTAACACTGTGTTTTGGGTCTTTTTGGATTGCTTCTATTGCTTTTACATCAGAATCTGAACCTAATTTCATTTTTATGTATTCACTATGGAGAACGGTCAATTAGGCGCCAAATTTAAATGTCAAAAATAATTTTAGACTGTAATTCAAAAATTTTTTTTATGTTTTTGTCCTTACTGATTTCCAAGTTCAGAAGATTTACACTTACTTAAAAATTGTATATGCATGAGAGTTGGAGGTACATGTAATATCGTAAGAATGGGTGTAAAATTAGACTTGATGAATAACAATAACGTATTAAAAAACAAGATTTTCATTTCCCACGTTTTAATTTATTCTGTTAGGTACAAGAAAAATTCTTGACACTGTTAGGCATAAGAAAATTATTTACAAAGGTTAGAATCGTATGAGTTTCTACAGCTTTACAGTAACTTGTTCGACCACAGTGTCCTGTTTAGCAGAAAGCATGCTACCCGTAAATCAAGTGACGGAATTTAGTTTTCATAAAACTACCAAAGGAAAGATATCACGTGGTGAATTATAATATTCAACATGTCACTGTCCTAGGTAACAACAGAGAGAGCAAATGTACGATAAGCAGTTTTTCTCATTTAAATCATAAGCGCATGTTTCTCTATTAAGGTCTTTCCACTCTCGAAATTTTAATGGTTCAAAGTACAAAAACTGCATTTATTTTCATTAAATATAGTATAAATTTACCAATTATCGCAAAAGGGTATAGGTCGCCATATTATCAACGATGAGAGATATATCGTACATTTTTTGATAGCAATAAAATAAAAAATCATGAAAAAAAAAACAGTTCAAAATGCATAAATCTGATAGTCAAGGTTCCGAATTACTTGCTACTTATAAAATACTTTTGAATTTTGAATAGCAGGGAAACTATATTACATTAGAAGTGCAATAAAAAATGATTGATTATATATTGTTTAACGTCCCTCTCGAGAATTTTTCACTCATATAGAGACGTCACTGTATGCCGGTGAAGAGCTTAAAATTTTGACCTTTACTCGGCACTCAGGGCCTTTGAGCAGTGAGGGATCTTTATCGTGCAAACGCCTACCGCTGACACGGGGTCTCGGTTTTTATGGTCTCATCCGAAAGACCAGCAGCTTTCACTTCAAAGTGCCGAGCGCATGGCGAAGGAACAGTTGCTACCCATTTTTATCGACTTAGGACAGTCGCGGCCGAGATGCGAACTCACGACCTCCCGATCACGGAGCGAGCACTCTACCGACTGAGCTGAGTCTAATAAAATAATGAAGATACCTGAGGAGGAGTTATTACCCTAGTCAACATTTTATATATACTTGTCAAAATTTCTAAGTCCCCACTTTTATTTTTTAAAAAGTTAAAAAACCTTAACTTAAATTTACTAGTTGCTCAAAAATTTGCCTTTAATTTGCAATACTTACCTGTCAAGGCCAAAAAATTTGTAATCGAATGTGTAATTACTCAACCGTGACTGTTTTTGTTAAAAAAGCATGAAGTTCGAGTTTCATATGTTTTCGGGTGTATTCTTCATATTTTTTACTTCCATGTGTTCTCCATCTTTAATTGATAACGAAAAAAAGATGAAAGCTTGAATAAAATGCGGCGTATATCCACACAACAATGTGCAAGTGAAGTTGAAAAGGCCCAAGCTGGTCGTAGTTAACAAAAGTTCTGTTTCCTTTCACTGTATGACTTTATTTACTTAAAACCTTTATAATTACATGTACCGCCCGAAAAACCTACAAAGCGTACCTGAATTCCTTTTAATCGTTAGAAATCGCTAGATTTTCAAGAAACACCACAAAATCATCATAGAGTGTATGCGGAAACATTATGGAACCGGAACCGGAAGTGCTTTCCCCTCAATGTCAAACTGGAGGAGTGGGGAATACATGTAAAAAGACGCTATGTAACTATTGTTGACAAGGCACAGACAATTTCGATAAGCCCCCTTGTCATCCTAATTTCAACCCTAATTTGCATGTCTGGAAGAAGATAGACCGGAGTGTAAGGCAGCTTTTCCAGCAGCAGAATCTATCGAAACTAGAGGACGACCTAGTCTCCATATGGAAAAACATTCAATAAAAGAATTTTTCTTAAATAGTGTGAATTCTTTGAGGAACGGTTGTCTTGCTGTGAATTCGTTTGAATGGAGAATAATGCAGTATTTAACATTGTGAATTTTTAATTCAAGGGTGCCTTAACGTTTCTGCATATTGTGTTAAAGCGCTTCAATTAAATGAATTAAGTGAGAAAAATTGTTCAGCTACTTTATTATCCTGTATACTTATCAAATTATACTGTTAAAATAATTCAATATAAGAGCGGTGTAAAGCAAAACTTGCCTAGAGACTTAGAAATTTTGACTAGTATAAGATTGAATAATTGATCAAATAAAGAAAAATATACATTTTAAAGATAATTTTTATTACTTAAAATTATCTATCATCACACCTATTGAAAAGCATTCTTCCAAATAAAATGTTCTATTGGATAAAAAATTAAATTACGAACTCTTTTTGCAAAAACCTCTGCAGTATGCGAGGATGAAAATACCTTAATCTCCTTTTAACACAACATTACCAGTGCAATTATACAACTACTGTTAAATGGAGAACAGAAGACAGATATGCACTGACTATGTTTTAAGTCGGAAAAAAGTAGATGTCCTCATTATCGGAAGGAAATCGAAGACATTATGGGGCCCTCGCTTTAGAAAACAGATTTGTACATCGTAAATACATACTTTTATTTATTGTAATTCAGTGAAGTTGTAGATAACAACGTTGATTATTCCAGGAGACAGTTATAAGACTATTGAACATGGACTTGGGGAAAAGCCAGATTTTGTTGTTGTACAGTTGAAGATGACCAATGGCTATGTTTCCGAGGCAGCAGGCGAGTCTGGACAAATTGTAACTTCATACTTTCTGTAGAATCATCAATTTTCGTCGAGGCCAAATGATCCTCGATTTCGTTGTCCACTTTAATATACAACTTAACATCCTCCACGAACAACTGTCTACATATTTATTAACTTAAAAAAAATTCTATATATACATGTAAACGTTACCCACGAACATTTTTTAAAGTTTCAAAGAACAAAAGCAAGTTTTGTTGAACCACTATCAATGGACTCACACAAATGAAGTAATTCCACGCTTTATTTTTCTCAGTTTGTAAACTTTTTGTATTTCACAATATAGACCCAAGACAATTTATTTAAGGAGTTGTTTATGGCATTTCATTGTAGGTGTGACATTCAATTCAGAAGTCTTCAAAACTTATGAAAAAATCTGCGGGACTGTTTTTGCATTTAATGACCAAGAAATCCGTCTTTGGTCTATGTCCAGTAAGGTTTTTATGTTAGTTATCGCTGTATCATATCAATAATGTTAGATTTAAGAGAAATCAAAAACTTGTTCATCATAAATCTTTTTTTTTTTTTTTTTGGAAGTTTTTTTTTACTTGTTTCGAGTTTTTTTTTTATAGCTCACCTGAGCTGAAAGCTCAAGCGAGCATTTCTGATCACCTGTTGTCCGTCCGTTTCTCTAGCTGTCCGTCCGTCTGTTTTCACATTTTTAATTTCTTTTTGAGAACAACTGAGAGAATTTTTTTCAAACTTAGTACGAAGCATCGTGAGGTAGTGTAAATTCTAAATTATTAAAATTATAAACCCCGGGAGAAGGGCGGACCAAAAAAGGGAATCCAATTTCTATATTGCAATATTTAGAAAAAAAAATCAAAAATCAACTTCTCAGTAACAACTTGGCCAGAAAAGCTGAAACGTATGTGGAAGCATTCTTGGGTATTGTAAATTCTAAATTGTTTAAATCATGACCCCCAGGGTAGGCAGGGCCACAATAAGGAATCCAAGTTTTACATTGAAATGTATATGAACCATCTTTAAAATCTTCCTCTCAAGAACCACTGGACCAGAGATGCACAAACTATTGTTGATGCATCGCTTGGTACTGCATGTACCTATAATTCTAAATTGTTCAAATCATGATCCCCCGGAGGAGGACGGGACAACAATAAGAAAATCAAAGTTAAACATTGAAATATATACAAATGTAGGAAAAATCCAGAAATGCTTAAACTTATGTTTTTGGTGTAGATTCTAAATTCTTCAAATCATGACCCCCGGATAGGAAGGGGTCACAATAAGGAATACAAATTTTACATTGAAACATGTAGGAAAAATCTCATCTTCTCAAGAACCACTGGCCTAGAAAAGCTGAAACTTAGCAGAAGCATTCTGTAGTTGTGTAGATTTTACATTCTTCAGATAATGTGGCCTGTGCAGTAGATGGTTGGGGAACAGAGGGCTTTAGGTGCAACACTGCTAGTCTGTATATCCAGGCCTGGATACTGTATTCCTGTGATAAGCTTTTCTCAAAACAATTCACACTGGATAAGAGCGACACAAACACTGTGGAGCGAGTAAGCCTGGATTCGGTCTATAGTTTAGATTCAGCATTCGTTTCTGTTCTGGTAAGTCTAAAGTTTAAGTTTAGTGTGAAAATAATCCAATATTGAACAGGTCATATTCATTCTTTACGCTGCTTTTGAGTGGTGTTGCAAAGCTATTTCCTAAATATTTTGGGGTTTTTCTATGATTAAAAAAAATCTATATTGTATTTTTTCATCAAAATGAAATAATTTTCGAAGTTTCTAATGGAATACTGTCTAGAAATTTATTTATTGTCAAGCAAATGATCAATTATGCTTTATTCTTTAATTGCAACTGGGAATGTATCATATCTTAATAAACTACATGAGTTAAACTGGTCAGTTTATGTAAAAGGGAAAACAATCGAAATTACACCTCATATATCTTGTTCCATGTTTTCTATACACTTGTTTCTTGCTCAATTCCATCAGCTGAAAGTATTATCTCCAAACAACGAGGGATTCATGTTTCACGCTGGTGGTAGCGCCATGATTGATACCTCTAATGACTCATATGGGGCTATAATTTACGGATACAATGAGACAGAAGTTATGCTCTGGAGACCATCCCCGACAAATACAAATGGACATTTGGTTTACGTGGGTGGACAGTGGGGTGACGGGCAAAGTAATCAAGAAAGTGACGTTGTAGAAGTTGTCGTTAAAGTTATTGACATCACAGGTAAGTATTTGATAATTTTCAGCACATACTGATGACGAATAAGTGCCGTGACGTCAAAGCTCCCTTGCTAAATGTAGCTGCTACTAATATCCCAAAACTATGAATGAAACTGATAAATACCGTAAAAATTGCCAAGTGAACCCGATACATTTTTAGCCACACATGACAACAAATACTCATTTCACTTTGATAAATACATGTAGCTTTAACCTTTAGTGGTTAAATCCCACTAAACATGCATTAAACATAAACTTTCTTTTCCTGTCCAGTAAAACTTTCTGATAATGGATGTTGAGACTACATATAGATATAAAAGAAGAATTGGCTTTGGTTTTCAAATAATATTAGTTCTTTCTATGTAGGCACGCCTTGCAATGGTACAGAATCATGTTCACCTGATTTGTCAAAGACTAGATGCATTTCTACAGGTATTTTTTATTCATCTAAACGATATTGCTAGGTTTTTTTTTGCAAAATCTGTTAAAAATTGTGATATTTTCATTTTAAAAAACTAGCTCATCACTGTAAATTGCACGACCATTCGAAAACATAAATGATGATACAGAAAATGTTAACGTAATTGACTGCCGTCACGAGAAAAGGGCCCTTAAGGTCAAATTTTCACAAATTGACTTTTTGGTAAATTTTGATAGCCGGACTCTTTCTGAATGCAAATATACATAAATTTTGAAAATATCTCGCTTTTTCGGTATTTTATGAAAATTTTAGTGAGGCGCTCCAAAAATAACTTTGACGTTACTCAGTGAAAACGTCATGACGTCACCTGCGTCTAATTCAATTTTCGAAAAATCTTAAAATTACGTTATTTAAATAAGCTCAATCGTTTTGAGAATTAAAAAATTGAGAAAGTATTTAATTTTTTCTTCCATGCGACTAGTATGTAAATATTCCTAAGGGATTTCGAGCAGATCTAGTAATTTTGTAAAAAAAAAACGGGGGGGGGGGGGGGGGGGGGGGTTTAGACAGAATCTAGAACACTTTATATTATAATCAGTAGGGAAATAATATTTGTTTATATCCATACAAATTATTCTTTTTATTTAAAATAATCCAATTCAATTTATGAAATATATAAAGCACTTGTAACACTTAAAGATTAAAAGAAATATATATATAGAGAGAGAATTCAATGCAGAAGACACCGCGCGCAAAAAGGGGCACCCTCGCAAAAAGCACATTGATCCCGATATTTAAAAAATTCTTATGAGACAGAATTCACTCACCAACACACACGCACGTAACTTTATTCCCTATAACTGTTAATACGATTTAAAAAAAAAAAAAAACACCATGTATTTTCTGTATCACCGAAAAATTCAATTGAAAAATAAATTCAGATACGCCAAGATATATGTAAACTTGTTTTTAAAAACGTTTATTCCTTTTATAAACATTCATGAAAAAAATATACGTTATTCCCTTCTTCCATGCAAGCGGATTTTAAAAATTTTACTTTTTTTTGAAAATTTTATTAGATATGTTTAAAGCTCCAAGTTTCCATTGTTTATACAATTCATTTTCTTCGCCTGTCTTAGTTATGGAGTAGAAAATAGGCAAATAAAGGACAAATGAATGATTTATATACCGTACCTTAAATTGAAACTTTCTTTGAATTTATACCTCAAATTGAAACCGTCTTTTAACTTCTTATTTTTTTAAAAATTAAATCACGATTAAAATCGGTTACAAATATTTCTGCACATTAACCCCCCCTTTCTTTTTTTTTAATTTTGTGGCACCTGTACCCTGTTTCACTTAAACACAACATTTGTATATTTCTTACAAGGACATCTACTATGATCTAAAAAAAATGATTTATGTATAATATTGTATAATTTAATCAAAGAGATGGGAATTGCGCTGTTCTTGTCTCTTTTTATTATATGTACAGTAAAATGTGCTTGACTCTTCTGTCCGTAATTACAGCTCCATTAAAATTTTGACGAAATCTTTTTGAAACTGAATGAATGCTAATATATATTTTTACGCAAGAACGGTAGGCCCTTAGGAAGCCATTTCAGTTGGTGGTGGTGGGGGGTAGCTATATTTTTTTTTCAGTTGTGGGCACTTTCAACCACCAAATTTTCCTTTACAAGCAAAACAAATTTTTTTACGGCCACGAATGGTCATCTATTCATTTTCCTCTGTGACAATGGCTATTTAACTTGATACCTTATAAGTTTTTTCACAGTTCGATGCGATTGTCTTATCCAATAATGCACTATTACGTCCAACATTCGTTAATGCTTTTTGTATGAGGCGATGCTGTTAATTAAGTAATAATATACCGCTCTAATTAGACTCTCTTTCGCTGAAAATATTTAGACAAACCATTTTTCCCTAGTTATTACTTCAGAACATACTCGTTTGAAAAAGAGGGGGGAGGGTTTAGTCAGGAAAAAAAATGAATTTACCTTAAAAAAACCCTACTCAACCAAACCAAAAAAAAGGGGGGGTTTCGAAACTCGAACCCGATTTCGCCGTTAGGGAAGGGGGCGGGGGTAGGTTCAGTCTTCTTTCAGTAACAAATTTTCATAATCAAACATAATACAGTGCCTTATTCTTTTGCCCGGACGGACTTTCAATGTATACCCCCCCCCCCAACCCCCAACCCCCGTTGCTACTTGCGTGCGACTGTAAAGGCCTATATTTTCTTTAAAAGAGGAAAAATTTGTGTTTGTTTATTAATTACTTTCCGCAGAGTCATGTTAGGATTATGATATATAAAGTCTTATCTCGGAACTTCAAGAAATTAATGTCGAGATATGCGGGGTATTTTGATACATGTATCAGAGTTGAAGATTTCAACGCAAAATGTGACTTATTTATTTCATATCATGGTATCAATAGTCAGTGATATAGATTTCACGCTCATTAAAATTTTTAAAGATTTTAAACATTTTCATAACTTTTGGAAATTACATCCATAAAAATTTGTCACATACTTTTTGCTCTTTCAGTGATGTATTCTCAAGAGATTAGCCATATATCTGATATTATCCAGAAATTCGTACGTCTTTTTGCTTATTATTAATCTATAGTTTTTTTTTCCAATTGGTTTATAAATATCCTCATTCATAATATCACTGTTGATGTAATATTGTTAATTTCTTCAACATTGGGTATAATACTTTAGGGAAAAGTCTACAATAGCTGTATTTAATTTCTTAACATATTGTAAAATAGGTTCCAGTGGGATTTCATTCATTTATTTCATCGGAACAATTTAAGAAATTTGAAACAATAGTAACTTCTACCATACAATTCCTTTGAATGTATTTATTTATCATTTTAAATTAGTTTTTGAAACAATCTTTATTTTAGCAATTTTTTCGTGGCACCGCCATCATCCGTATTTTTTACCTTAGCATATTCTATTACTGTTAATTCAGTAAAAAAAATATTTATTGTTGATGTACGAGGGTTGTCCCGTAAAATCGTGGACAAGTTGTCTAGTGTGAAAAATAAACATCACTGCGTTCTGAAATTTTTACTATTATTTAGTACATATTTTAGTAATATACACAGCAAATTTCAGATAAATATATGCATAAATAAGCAAATTATGAGATTTTATGCCATGTATTGTATCACCTTACGGCGCATGGATTATAACGTCAAAGTGTTTAAAACAGCGTCACGTTTTATCTTTGCTGAAAATGAAGTTGGATGAGTCCGACTTCAATTTCGGAATTTCATTGATACACATTCTTTAGTCTCCATAAACAGTCGAAGAACCAACTGGCACCCTATTGCGATCTTCTGAAGATTTATTAGTAAGTTACGGACAATATTCTCGCCATCATTCAACTGATAGAAAATCTCATATCGGCGGTCTACTGTGACAGCGTCTTTTGCTATTACATTAGGAGTCTGTCCGTATGTTTTGTACTTCCCAGGGACTCGATCAAAAAAAACTTCGCTAAGAAAACTCCTATTTCATTTGTATACTTAAGATATGGTGCTATTTTTATAATCTTTTTTCTTCTATGGTCATTTCAAGTCTCTAAAGGTGTCATTACAACATCGAAATAAAACTGAACTGTTCTCCGGTGCGCCGTAACGTCATAAAACGTCGCCATTTTTCGTTTGTTGTGTTTACCACTTTCCCATTTCGAATGCTCGAGAAACTGCCAAAAATTAAGCAAATGCCTTAAAATTTTTACAAAGACTGCAAAATTGATTGTGGAATTGAAGTAGGATAATTTTAATCCAAATCTTATGTATTTAAAACTTTAATTTTGAATTCAAACTTGTGTATTCTTCAATAAAACTTTGGTTTTTTGACCGTGCGCCGTAGGACAATACCCCGTGCACATTCAAGCATAATAAAATCTTTATTTTTGCCTATATTTTATCAAAAAAATTATCATGCACTTAAATATGATAAATATACATTTACTGAAATTTTCAGCTAAGTGCGCCCATTACTTTTCGAGAAAAACGCTTTGTCCACGATTTTACGGGACAACCCTCGTAGAAGGTTTGGATCTCCCATGTTACCAGTATCTTTATTCAATGAAAGAGGGATTATGTTTCTCAGCTTTAACTTTTACCGGTCTTTTTATTCGGAAATTTTTTTGGCTTGTCTTCTTACCCCCCTCCCTCCTTTTTTTACAACAGTTTTTTACGACAGTTCACCGAAGGCTGGCTATCGGGGTACATCAGTATGATTAACTATGGATTAAAACTAAAATGGCTAAATATGTTTTAAATTATGGAATATATTTTTCAGGAAAAAATTAGCACTTATAAGAACGGTAATTACTATATGTGCATAGATCTCTCGCTCGATCTTCTCTCTCTCTATCTCTTTCTCTCGGCTCTCTCTGAAAAAAAAATATACATGTATATGGAATATACCTTTTAATATTAAGACTTCTTAACATGAATTCAAATTTAAGTATTTGTAAATTGCTCAGAAAACAAATATGCAGCATCTTTAATTTATGGTCATGCATCGACATCGTTTTAATCGCTGTTCCATAGGTAGCAATGTGCATGTCCAATGCTCCGTATATCAACATCAAATTAAATACTTCAACAAAATTATGAATAAATTTATGTACTAAATTGTAATAATAGCATATACCTATTAAAAAATGTCCGCATCAAGTTTCAAATTTTTGTTACACTTTGAAATTCAATTTTATTTTTTTTTTTTTACAAAATGCAGTCAACAAAATTTACTTCCGTGTTTACAATACCGCGACTTTGACGTCGTTTTCTGAGCATTGTGACGTCAAAAGATAAGGGCCCTTTTCTCATGACGGCAGTCAATTAATATCTTTGTTTCAATTTCGAATTCGTTGACATTTATTCCAACTAGTGTTTTTATCGAAGGACTGTATTTGAAATAAGGATAACGTATATTTCAATGCAGATTGTCCAATCCCTCCTGATATTGACAATGCTTATAAATTATATGAAGGAGTGACTAATGGTAGCAAGACGTTGTACTCTTGTAAACCTGGATACACTGAAAGTTCAGATGACGTCATAATTAACTGTGTAGAGGGTACATGGTCTTTCACTTCAATGTTCTGTAGAGGTACTTTACACCTTCGTGGATATATGAGAAAAATGTGAAAAATACATCACTATTTAAAAAATGTCTTTAACAGGATTTGTAATATAATAAAATTCTGAAACTTTTTTATGTGAAGTTATTTGCTCCACACCTCCTGCAGTTGAAAATACAACAGTTTTTGTCCAAGACAATAGAGCAAAATATTTCTGCTTCACGGGATATTTCCCTATGAATAATACAATTGACGTCATCGAGTGCAGAAACAGCACTTGGCCATCTACTGACTTTAAATGTATAAGTAAGGATCAAGATCTTTATACATTTTTTTTTAGATGTAATACATGTCTAAAGTTGCATTTCACGAATATAAATATTTTATGTTTGTTTAGTCTTTAATAAAATATAAATACATACTTTACAAAATGTTGTATTAATGGTTTGCACCAAATCATATTCTTAAAGTATTGTAAGTCAGAAAAGCATAGTCTGTAAATTACCTTAATAAATTGATATATAAAATTATTATTTATATATATCAACTAATCATAGTAATTTCACTACAGTATGTATTCTACACAGAATCTTGCCCTGATCCACCAACCATTGCTAACGCTGACGTCATGGTCTCTAACAATGTTGCTCTATACTCCTGTCGTCAGGGGTTTCTTCCAAAATCTGGAACCAACTCAGTAAACTGCTTACTATCTGAGTGGCAGAAAACAAACTTCACCTGCTATGGTAAAAACAATGCACTTTTTCCTTTTTGTTATTCAGAACCATTCTTAAATATAACTTTATTTTGTCAGTTTATATGTTTGGTTTTTTTTATATTTACCTTAATAATTATTTTACATATGGAGTATCATTGACATGAAGTAACTAAACATGGTTTAGTGGTTTGATAGCATGAAAAAGAAATGTTATTTTGCCTATAAAAACAAGAAATTGAAAATACGAGAATATAATGTTATACTTTATTATTATGACGGCTATTGCTAAATATTTTTTGTACAGAACGTCAGGATGATAATGTTCGTATTATTGACAGCTCTTGCTTAATTAAGGAATAATTAAGGAACATAGCATACACTTATCAACTGGTTGAAAGTGAGATTGCTCTTTTATCGAACCGCGATAGGGCATAGTCCCTGTAAAGGGTTTGGTGAAAAAGCTATCCCACACACAAACAGTGGATAAGCGTTTTTGCGTTTTATTATACTGGTGTTATATATAACTTCTGAGATTTGAATTTTTTTGGAGTAAGATAAAACTGCAAGCATAATCTGATATCCTGAAGACGTCACAATGCTTTTGAAGTCATTTTAACATCATTAGTCAATAGATTACAATTATAGTAAAAGAAGGGCGATAACAAATCGATTTATTGCAAGGGCATATCCTCAATGTTTCTTGCCAAGTTTTTACACATAAACTAATGAAGCATTAAGATATTTGAAGAGTGCGGCGAACCTCGTGAAATCTTGCAAATAAATTAATCATAGCTATATTTTATGTAGTTGACCGGTAAAATATTCATTCTGCCGTCCAACAAATTTAATTGTAGCAATTATATAAGGAAATCTATATAAGTTCGCAGCACTTGTCAAAAACTACATATAGTGTTTAAAAGAATTATGAATTAAACTTTTTAACTTGGTTTTGCCCTTGCAATATTGGAATTTACAGATGGCCTCTAAACTCCAAGTATACATGCTAAAATCATGTGGCTCCGACATCACTTGATAAATCTAAATAAAAAAATCTAAATGTCCTCAACATGTAGATTTGAACCACACTACATTTATTTATATCACCGAAATCCTAAAAAGAATTGCCCATCCTTATTAAGTATGTTTTTTTTATCATAAAAAATCGCCCATATTTCCATTTATAACCTTAACTGTTCCGCGTTGACTCAATGAAAACAAATTTCAGGGGTCTTCCTACCCAGGTAACACAAAAACGTTATTAAAACGTTATAAAAACGTTTTCAAAATGTTATCAAAACATTTTCTAAAACGTTATTACAACGTTATTTTGTATGGTTTTTTTAACGTTATCATAACGTTTTTCAAAAACATTGTCCTGCAATGTTTTGAAAACATTTTTGAAAACGTTTTCAAAACGTTTTTAAAAACTTTTTCAGAACATTTCTTATATGTTTTAAATCGTTTAAAAATATTTTACAACATAAAAATCATTGTACTTCCTACAGTTTTAATTAGGTTAAATTTTTTACACAAATATAATCCATGAACTGTTGTAAACATCCGCACAGTCAATAAGAGTCTTCTTAACAGAAAAGATTTGTCACAATTGAAATAAAAAAAAAAATCACAATATCCTTCTTCCTTTGAAAATCATGTTTGGCACTTTTGGCATTTGGATCACTTGGACTTCTTTGTTTTAATTCTTCTGAAAAACAAAGATTTAGAGAAAAACTTTAATTAACAAAATGAATGATCATTCTCGCAAATCATTTTCGTAAAATACATGTATACATGTAAATCCATGCATTAGAAGAATTAAAACTATATATAGTCATACATCCGATAAATACAAGGAAAGTCTTTCTAAAATTATTTATAAAAAAAATAAACTTTGTTGTTGTTTTTTTTTGACAAAAGTGTGTTTTGGGCAAAAGTTCTATAAAACATATATTGTATACTAAATAAATCTATCTCCGTAATACATTCTTGTCAGGAAACTTCAAACATACCTTAAAGAATAAATACCCTGGTAAATCCCTCCAGCATGGTGTGCCTAAGCAAACCTTATTATGTCAAATTCCTCTCACTACATGTGATCTTTAAAAAGGTATATTTAGTCTTCGCAAACAGCCGCTGTAAATGAAATATGATATTTATTTCCAAGAATTGTAAATCGTGAATATATACATGATACTGAATATAAATACAAATCATTTAACATTTTCAAAGAAGTATTTAACTTGTTAAGCCCCCCCCCCCCCCCCACACACACACACACTTACACACACTCCCCCTTGCAAACATACTCGATCTATTCAAATCATGTTTTGAAGCTCTCAATTTTAAAATTTATCTCTTAGCCTGGGGTTATTATACTACACATGAAGTACACATTAATTAAGAAAACTCACACTAGACACAAGTCATAAAACATTTATGTAAATGCACAATCATGATAAACTTAGATGATCAGTTTACTTCAAAAACAACAAATTACCCGCCCAGTTCAAATATCAGTGAAATGTTCAACCATTTACAAGGAATGATTTAGGCTTATACAATACACTTACTACTATAATACAATTTCTTAATATATGTATACATATTGAATACTACTTTAAATTCAACATACCATACGATGATGTAAAATATTACCTTAATCCTGTTCTTTGTCTTTTAAAATGCTGCCCGGTTTTTCAAAATCTTGATAAGTTGACCTATATAGATCACGTGGAAATAGTTTGCAGCAAGGAGCGAGCGCTAACCACGGCATCCCGCTGTGCGACTCAATTAACTTTTGATAAACACATTATCAAGGAGGAAACAACACAAGTGAATAATTTAATTCTGGTTGTAATGCTGTATTTGATTGGATAAAAAATTTACTTTATATCGTATAAAATGGGTTGCCTACGTCACAATATGACTTTCGTCAAAAACGTATCAATCCGCCTGACGTTACATTCAAATGTTGTATAAATTGAAGTCATTTTGTTAGAACAATCATCTTTTTTTCTTACATCAAATGAATGAAATTTAAATTATAAGCAATGAATTTAATAGCTACCCATTTTATACGGTATAAACTGGGTTAGAACAGTTTGCGCTTTTTTATAAACCGCTTCGCGGTTTATAAAGCGTAAACTGCCCCAACCCAGTTTATACCGTATAAAATGGGTAGCTATTAAATTCATTCCTTAAATAAAATGCGCTGCCTTACTTTGTTGAACTACATCACATCTTAGAAAAATACATTAAAAACGGCTTTTAATACATTTTTTTCACAATGTTTTTAGGAATGTGGCATAAAACAATTAAAGAAGAACTGAATTTAAAGAAAAAAATTTTTTTTGTCCAACCCCTCCCCCCTCAATATGCTTTAAAAGACATCCCCTAGTAATCAATAACAAACAAACAAAAAAGTAAATGCTAAATCAGTAAATGTATTTTTTTAAGAATTGAATTATATAGATGTTTGTTGTTTCTATAACGTTTTAACAATGTTTTCCAAACATTCTAAAACAATGTTATATTCATTTTTTCTGGTAACATTTGTACCTAGAATTAATTACAATTTTAATTCAATTTAATTTTTTTTTTAAATTTGAGTAAACGTGACACAATACACCACATACTGTGCAATATATTCTTAATATCATACTGTAGTTTTTAAGAGTATTTTTCCCCCAAACAATGGAATGTGAAAACACTTTTCACTATGCTTTTTAAGTAATAAAAATTATTCATAATATCATTACATGCAAAAATGTTTTTAAAAAACTTCCGTCCAACCAGTATCAAACGTTATGAAAAACATTTTAAAAATGTTTTTGAGAAACGTTTTCTAAAATCGTCATTATAACCTAGATAAAACGTTATAAAAACATTTTTCAAACGTTATGTCAAAAACGTTTTGGAATAACATCCTTACAACCCGAATATAATGTTATGAAAACGTTTTGTGCTACCTGGGTATGATTCTTTTCTGAGCCGTCCCGGACACTGTAACGAATCAAATATTACTCGTGCGACCTAGTAAATATTTTGCAACACAGTAAGAAATGTGGTAATCAGAAAATCAATTAAATTTCTCTAACTAAGGCAGGGCAATTAATCTTCTCTTATCATCACCGAACAGATTCATGGAATTTTCATTATTTCCGAATCAACAGAACTTTTTTAAAGAATAAACACATATAATTATCCCCCAAAATTAAAATAATTCCTAAATAATCGAATCGATCTTTTAGGGATAATTGTTTGCTTTTCATGAATTATTTAAATGTAATAAGCATACAATTCCTTTCAATTTTCTTAGCAGTTACTTTATAATTTAAACAAGCCACCTAAATAAGAATTGTTTTCGTTTTTTAGATACAGCAAAGAGAATCAGAAGCAATATCACCAATGAGACGCTTGCAGAATGGATAAAAGAGATGAAGAAGAATCTATCCGTACATAAATCAAAAACCAGTGCCTATAACAGAAGCTTGATCAGTGTCTACGAATCTCGTCCTAGTGCTGTACAGATCGGAAGTGTGGGGGTCTTTCTGATGAGTTTTACGATCATAGTTTTAATTTTTCCGGATATAGTTGCTGTTGTCAAAAACTTGCATAATAAAATAAATAAGAACTTTGGTCATCGTCGGATGAAGAGAAATAAAATACTGGTACATGTATATACAGTAAAATTTGTCTAATCCGGACTCTGAGTACTCCGGACTTTTGTCCATTCCGTCTATAAATTTTAGTCCCATGCACTTCTTTAACAAATTCATTATAAAAAATTCTGTGTAGTCCGGATACTGTCTATTCTGTATTCCGAACGGCCGTTCTAGTCCCAACTGCTCATAATTAACGGTAATTATTCACTCTAATCCGGCCATACCTGAGTCACTTCAAAGCAATTAACACCTTTCGTGGTGGATATGATAATCCGTGTTTACATTAGCATCATTAATTAGTGCCATGAGACGAACTCAGTAAAATGCGGCGGTGACAAAGCCCACTTAAAAAATAAATTATATGATTAAATTACAATCAAAATAACTTTGTTTCCCTCCTTTTACCACATTATAACATAAACACAAAAATATAGTTATGCGATTTACAAATCAAAATATAAATCGGGATCGAAAATCGAACGCATTTCAAAATGGCGCCATAACACTGTGGGGGAAGACGTAAATTTTTACATAAAAATTAAAAGTTCAATCTAATAATAAGCACATCGTAAATAATTGTGCATTACTGGTAATACCACTGTTCCTTGACAAGCGAAACCTGGTCCACTTAATACATAGTAGGCTTATCTTATGCGTGCCTGTATATTTTGATTGAGGTAACATTTCACCCGACTTTCAAACTTCGCGTAAAAATAAGGAAATACAGTAAGTTAAGTGAGACTTTTTTATAATTCCTAGACTCTAAAATATTAATTGATTTCATCATTTAATTTTATTTATAATATGTATATAATGTACTTGTAAATAAACAACGAAAATTTTAGAAATTGTTATTTTCCTGCATTTTTCCTGCACTCCGGATTCTGTCTAATCCGGCCAAATTTTTTGGAACCGGCGGTAGCCGGATTGGACAAATTATACTGTAGATAAATTTAATATTTTGTATTGTTTTATGGACTTAGATCTTGAACACAGTTGGTTATCTCCACATGTTTCATTAGACTACACCTGATGCATTTGTTGTTCAGATGGCATTCCAGAACATGTTAATCATAATTATGAAAAAGTTAAATATAAAATATCGTTTGTTATGATACTGTTTTTCGATGTACAATTGTGAATTAATTTAATTTTCATGATTTTTTTTTATTGCTAATAAAAGCAATGTTTATCTTCTTGACTATAACTTTCCTAATAGATATTTACAAATGAAGTACAAAAGGATGTGATACATGATATATCAACAGGCTCTCTTTGTGTAGACAATTTTGAGGATTTGTGAAATATACTCCTGCGTTCTGTCATTCCTTGTATGGGGATTTGATTTACATCTTTGGGATGAGTCTAGACATTTTGAGACAAATATTGCATCATAAGAAGGTGATAAACAAGACCTCTGAATGCAACTGAAAAATCCAGTGTAGATACGATAGACTATTCGCGTACAAAAAATAAACAGACCTGCTATGATTTGTTTGCTTGTTATAAGAACGAATGGATCACCCATTGTAATATCAGTTTTGATTGATTGATTGATAAAAAGTATATTGTTTATAGTCCCTCTTGAGAATTTATAACGCCACGACTTGCCGGTATAGAGTTGCAAATGGTGTCCTATACTCGGCACTTAGAGCCATTGAGCAGCAAGGGGTCGTTTTCATGCCAACATCTACTGGGGTTTAGGTTTATGGTCTCATTCAAAGGAATGGTCTCCACGTCTTACATTGGGGTTCTAACCTGCAACTATAAGCTTTGATAGGCTACCGATTTTTTTCCTGATAATCCTGATGGTGGGGCAGTCAGAATAGTCTTTTAGTGCCCTTAGAAGATGAGCTTTCTCGACCTGGCCCACTCGATAACCTGATCTGACCTCAGTTGCGTAAGCTAGAGTATTCGTGAAACGTAAAATGCCGATATTTTGAATAAATTGGAGGGATTTATGGCTGTTTATAACCATTTTTAAATAATTAACACGTAAAAACAGAGTCAAAAATGGGAACGTCAATAAACGTGACTTGTACGAGGGTTGATCTAAAAGTTTATGGAATTTCTTTCTAAAATTGTATCGTGATTTGATGAAAGAAATCAATAGACATATTCATAATAAAGAGTCATTGTGTAGCAATACTGGAAGATTTCACCTAATTCCAATCACTAATAAGGTCAAACGACCTTTCTGGAAATGGTTGGTTGTAACATCTGGGATAGACTTAAACGTTACGTAAAGTTAAGTATGTTACCTCACGTTTTTAGAGCACATCAGACTCCTGTCCGATTTGACTAAGTAATTGTACAGAATTCTTCCTTTCTCTCCATTTTTTTCAAGAAAAACCTTTAAGTTCGTATCCTCTCACACCGACTTATCTTCATATTACAAAAGGTACAATCATATTTCATCTTTCCATATGATATGATATGATATTAAAATTTCAGTAGCATTGTCAAGTACAAAACTTCAGCAGTCAAAGTTCATTCACGCTGAATTTGTGTATAAAAAAACAGGCCATCCGAAAGGCTGGCACACCTTTAATCAACCTCCATGGAAGTTCTTTTTTTCTTAAATTTCTCACGCCACTAGAAAACCAGTTGCTTAATGCATTTTTCTCCAGTCTGTATCAGTAGTATACGCGTTTAAGTCAGAGTGCTCCCAAGATTTTCAGAAAACTTATAAATTGGTTTGACGTTAGTATAACAATTTAGAGCTTAACAATAAAACATCAACTAAAAAGCTTAATTTCTACATAAAGCAGTAAAGCTCACACACGAAGATTGAATCATGCAACTGTAATAATGATACAATTCTCATTTTTTGTGCCACTTATAGTGGGATATTTTTTCTAATTCCACGTATCAAGAATAAAAATGATAACGAAAGAGTAAATGTCTCTCCCACATTTTCAAACATCCGTTTCTATGGCAACTGCCATTAATTTTCTGTCATAGCTATTTAAAATATTTTTTTATTTAAAAAAGCAACAAGTGTCTATATTCTCATTTATAATTTTCCACCATTTTCACAAATGAATAAATAAAACATGAAGAAATTTCACTAATTTTTGGATCAACCGTCGTATATTGCATTTACAGCCAGTCGTGAGTTTCTTATTGATTAAAGCATTAGATCTGATTAAACATTAGCATATCTCATCAAGCTCAAGTAAACAAGTGTGGAGTCACAATATGTGTATAATTGTTATATAAATATTAGTACTATTAATTGTAGTCATTATCAATGCTATTGATTTATCTAAGTTTGTGATCAGCTGATTTCGTAGTATTTTGTGTTGTAATACGACCCCTCTGTTAGCATGTCCTTGGTGTTTTGCTATAACAAGGCGTAAATTAATGTTCATGACTTGATGCATTGTTGTTTATAGCTTATTTACTCTGTACAAGTTATTGATATGCCAGTGCTGCAAGGATATTGTTTTATGCTATCGATATGTCATGTAAATAACAAAGTTTGTATCTTCTATTTACCTTCGTCACATGTATACTGCCATTTTACCGGAACTGATGTATGGCGCTAATGTAGTAATTCATGCATTTGACCCCAGGTCACTAGCTGTTGTATTTTCGTCTGGCGGTCTTTTTGAATGTAGATTGTGATTTCTTCCGGGTTTTGGCATTTATTTGAGTGACGAAGATTCTTTGTAGTTAAATGATTATACTTATGTTATTTTATTTGTAATTAAAGTTGTATTTATCATTTTGATTGGAAGCACCGGTAGTGTCTCCGGTGGTTTCCATTCTTGCGCGTGGGTTTCTCCGGTTGAGGAATTGGTGTATAAATACAGCCGGTATACTTTCTCCGGTACTTTCGACATTTTATTTTGAGCTAGCAAGACGTCTAAATTTTACTGAAGTAAGTTTAAGGAAATAGAAGGTTATTCTTTCTATCTTTAGGTATACGGTAATTTAATTAATGGGTTAAACCCTTAATTAATTACCTAATTAGCGTAAATTAACGAAATTATCAGTTTTTACAGAAGTAGGACTAGGAATTTGTGTATTTAATTAATGGGTCAATCCCTTAATTAATTACCAACTTAAATCAAGTTGAAATAGAACTAGGAACTATTTATTTTTATAAAAGTCAATTTACTAACAATAATTTTCTAGATATTTTAGAGATTATATCTCTAATTTCTGGACTTCGTGGATAATTATTGAGATCTCTTGATTATTTTAAGAGACCCTTAATAATTCATGAGGCATAAGAGTATAATTTCGTTTATTCTTACATATATATCAAGGGTTATTCCCAGGATATATACTAAATAAAACCCCTATTTCCATATTTATAAGAATTATATTGAACAAAGCCAATGTTATATTTATATAATAGTGTTGCATTATGCATGTACTATGCCTAAATAGTAGGCAGGGTTTGACACTGGTGGCCGAGCCGGGGGCGGGTGTATGTGTCAAACCCTGCCTACTATTTAGGCATAGTACATGCATAATGCAACACTATTGTTATTATTATGCTGACTGTTGTTATTATTTATGCGGCAATCCATTTGATTTTTTCCTGAAAATAATGGTGGTAACACAGCGCACTTGCAAAAACTCATTCAAAATCTCCATGTTAAAATCAGTTGCATGCTTAGTTATTTTGGTTACTAGTATTTTCTCTAAATAAGTCAGGATTTTCTGTCCCAAAGATACTCATCTTTATTTTCTGTTTTGTTAGTAAGACTGATTTGTTTACAGATGTGGATTCATATTGATAATTTTCTTTTACATCCTTCAATCAAGCGCTATATAAAAAGCGTTTTAATGACCCCATGATATCAATTCATCAAACGATCTGTATGTAATTAGTTTGAAACTTTGTTGTACACATTTATCTAAGATTCCTTAGAATAAATATAACTGTTTTCAAATAATATTTGTCTATTTTCTCCTTCTTGTGTCAATTGTATAAATTAAGTTTATATATTTAATAAAATTCTCCCAAGCAGTGATCGTCTCTGTGGCGTAATCGATAAGGCATCGGACTGGCAACTTCATGGTTGTGAGTTCGATTCCCGGTGTGTGCATTGAAAAATTTTATTCAGAAAACAAGGCCGTGCACTATTTCGGCATAGTATGCTTACGCTATATAAATCCTTAGACCACTATGCGAGAATAGTAGGGTATGGGTTATATAGAGACAAACTGACAGGAAGCATAATAATGTTGTATAGCAAAGTTAATCTTTGTTTGTTATGTTGGCATGTTTTGAGTATCTTATGAACAATAAACCTGTAAACTGGAAGTATGTTTATTTATTAGCTGGAAAGTCAGTCTGGTTATTTATTCTGGACTTAAAACAAATCCTGACAAAAAAAAATAAAACATCCTGACAAAACTTTAGAAAATTAGATCCTTTAATAAAATATGCCCTATTCCTAGAGAGCGTCACACAAGGGTTGACTGTACATGGACCGTTAGGGGTATAAATGCCAATTAATGATATTAACGTGTTAAAATTTCGGGGAGGAATGGGAGGTGGGTACCAATAGAGATTCGGATCATGATTGCACGATATATACATGTACAGCGCTTGGACCAGGAAATCTTGAAAACACTCAAATTTTTATTATGAATTTATTTTACAGTAGACAAACAGTCATCTATGTAATAAACCTATAAAATCTTCATCACTTTTATTCCTCAGACTGACAAAAAAAAATCATATGATAAGATTTAAATTAAAAACAAGTATTAGTAAAATTCATCAATGATACATATACATGTACACAAAATCCAAACAAATATATAATGCATTAGAAATGGACAGTGTTTTATTTAGCTTGTTATAATTAATTAATTAATGATAGCTCAAGTGTAATTAAATATATAGAAAAACACAGTTACGGTAGAGGATTCAAGCGTTTTCAGACTTTGCAGCATCTACGGCCTTGGTATCTTACAATATTAAAAATCCTATTGGCAAATTCGTCAAAGAAGGTATCATTTGCAAGAAAGCTTTCAAAATCGTTTAAGAAATATTGCATTGTAAAGGGTGTTGGAAAATGCTTTGTGTACATTTTTCTACAATGAATTTCATCAACATTTGCAAGGATCGTCCAGAATTTCAAAAACTCTCCTCGGTTCATTATAAGATTTTTCTTCCTATAATATTCTGTAGAGAAAAAGCTGAAAAAGCTGGTAATCATTGGCTTCACTTTTCCATTTCTTTCATGTGGAGGTGCCATTCCTACCGTTCCTTCAAGGTAACTGACGTAATCATCAACTGATATGTCTTTTCCGGGACCGCCTTTAAAAATGTTTTCGTTCCACCACTTCTTTTGGTTACCGGCAGACAATGCTGTATCCTTGGCACCAAAAAGTTTTCTTATCTCTTCCAATTTAGCATTTGTTTTCTCCATGTCGTCAGCGCTGATGACGCCGTCTTGGTCCGCATCAAGAAGTCTGACCCACTGACGCCATTTACGTCTCAAAAACCATTTTTCTGTTTTATATAAAAAAAATAATCTTGACTAAATAGTTCAACAGTTTATATAATGTTTTGAAATATAATAATAACGCGTTGAATAGAAAAAAAATTGCAATGAAGTTACAGTGTACATCTATTAGATATTTCATGATTTTTCCATTGCTGGCTTTATTTCTAATCAAAATCAAATAAAAGGTTTAATAAATTTCAAGATGACTTTGTTGTGCTACCGTTTACTTAACCTGAGAAACAAAGTTGTTTATATTGAAATTTTATTGATTAGTTAACTTTCCATTCAATATTTCTTTTAATTATTTATCCGGGTATTCATTATATTTCATCACTGTTTGTCAAAAATAGTCACATTCAATTCCACTTGACAAATCACATCTTTGTGTTGAAACTTACATCACAATCTCTGATATTACTTCATATATTTTAACTTACAGACTATAATAATATACGGCGAAAAACTCAGAAAAATTCTTATGAAACACGCTTATGATCGGAAATCTTACTTTGTATACCAGGCATTATTATCAAGGAGATCAAAACGTAAAACGCGTACGGCATCAGCACACTCAGTTCTCCCACTTTGGCATTGAAATAATAGCTCTGAAACTCTGGATCACAAGTTACTCTGTACGTTTTGTTATCTGCAATTTTCTCATCTAAAGGAATAATCTTTGTGGCTCCTGAAAAAAAAATATAATAAGAATTTTAATATTTGAATACATGATTTCTATCTCTGTAATCTTCTTGAAAAAGTTTTAAAAGATCTCGATCAACTTTTGTACAATTTGCTTTTTGAAAACATTTAGTTACCACGTAGACAAATGGAAAAAGGTACATGTACATAATAAATGGTTGGAAAACATCACACAGTGTTTCCCTGGTCATGATGTTATGAGATGGGAAAATCTCGGTGCATGTATTTCGCAAAGCCATAGAAAAATGAAAAAATAATGACAGTATTCCAGTGTACCCAGTAGTTGAAATCAGGTTTTTAATTCATTGATCAGTAAGTACTGTAGATTGGCAAATAATCACGATGGTTTTTATTTTGCTATGTTAGCGATTTATCATTTCTTCGCGAAATTAACCCACCGTGAATGTTATTTTTAGTTCTTAAAAACGTTTAAATGCTTATACGAAATTTGAATTTATTTCCTGCATCGTGAAATAAAAACCACTGCAATTGGTACTTTTTGAGATATGGTGAAATGTTGACATTTTGGAATTATAACGACTTACAGAATTTGTTTATTGTTCTTACAGTTTTCAACAAAGAATAAGTTTTGTTTCAAACATTTGTATTTGCTAAATTAACTTTGTGTTTGCTTTTGATTTCATAATCTAAAAACCAAACCAAGCATAGACAAAATACTTGGAATGGTTTTAAATTGTTCATTTTTTCACATACCTACGATACACACTGCGAAATTAGCTATATACAAGGCCAATCCAATGAAAAACAAATATCCACCACATTTCTTCTTTCCCTCAAGTTCACTTCGAGAATGATGATGTTTTCGACACATATCCAACAGGGCAAGTAATCGAATCAGTAAAGCAAAAAGAACTGTGGCGCATATGAGCCCACCTTCTGACTGGATAAATCCTGAGAGGTTTTCCTCTTCTTGAACTTTTCCTTTGTCGTTGAACCTCTGCCAGTAACATTTTCCAGCGAATTTCAAACCTTTTTTTAAAAAAGAGGAATGCTTTAACTTGTTTTAATTTTTATAATATCTGTTACTCTTTATTTTTTAACTAAAAAACAAATCATCTAATTGAAAACAAATTAACTTTGAATATAAACATCCTGCAGTATATGCCGGAAATTTATTTTGTTTTTATTGTAACTTCAAATTAATTTAACTTGATGAACCTTTATCATTCCATACACTGAATAGTGACTGTGAGCTGTGCAAATCAGCCAACTTTAAGTAAGATTCCGGTCACCTTTGAGTAAACATAATAATACTAATGTTTCATCCGGTTAAACTCCTGAACATGATCTAATGTTGCCTGTATTAAATGTCATGTAAAACTTAATACTGTAAACCAACTTTAATTTGAGTGCGAGAAATTTTTGCGAATTTCGCGAGAGCCTTGTCATCGCGAATATTTTTCGCCGTGAATCGGTCTTTAAAGTCTCTGTGTACATTAATAACAAAACCAAATTTGGCTTGATCGCGAAAATTAATCGTTGTGAACTAGTTTTCCTCTAGTAAATCGCGAAATAAAGTCGTTGCGAATAAAGATTGGTTTACAGTATATTGTAAACTCTCATATAATGAATGTTTGGGTGTTTAATATATTTAGTTCTAAAAATTAAAGGCATTTTAATTTACCAGAGTACACAATAAAAAATTGATAAAAGCTATACCTTATTAGCGTTTCTTCAATATCTGTTAAAACTAACCGTAATAGATGTAAGAAATAGAAAAGGCAAGAGCTCCCAGCCATATAATCTGCTGCAAACCTGAAAAAAAAAACAAAATTTAAAATAAATTTAAATCAATGGACAATGTTCGGTTAACAAAACTTAATATCCAGTCTAAAGTTATCATGAAGTTTAAATTGCAGAATTAGTGACTATTATAAAAAAGGCTTACTATAAAAAAAATTCTGCTATAATATTATTTATACATGTACATGTATATTGAAATACCTTTGAGATTTAAAAATCTTGAATCTTCAATTTTTTTGCTTACGGAAATAATTGTGTGTAAAAATTTTATTTGGCTGATTTAGGGTTATAAATATGGATCATGTCAAATAAGAAAAAAATTTTTAGAGAACGTAAGGTCATGTATATGTGAATGTGAATTAGGTATGATCAAGCCCAAAAATCATTATTTCGATATGCAAATTTTGATATATTGCACATGTTGTAAGAGCAAAATCGTCTGAAAATAAGAATGGGATCAGGTGTCATGATGTGGATAATACAACTGAAAACTTACAGGACATTTCAAAGCATTCGTGGAATTGTTCCCAAACAGTTCTGTCGTCTTTGAGGTATGGACTTGATGTGCATTGCTTAGAAGTCGCTGAAACTTTTTTGGCAAAAATGTCATCATAAGAGGGAGGGGCGTCTAAAATGGAGTAAATATGACTTAATACAGTGAAACGTGTCTAATCCGACACACATTGGGAGACATATTTTATGTCGGAATAGACAGGGTGTCGGATTATTCAGGTGTCGGATAAGACAGTTTTCACGGTACATGTACATGTATGTTATATTGAAAATATTCTTGGAGGGTTCGTTTTCTTTGTATTACATGTAATAGATATAAAATCATTATATCCACGGAATGTAAAATTGCAAATTAATTATTCATTTTTTTCTTTTAGACGATGCAATTAAATCTTCTACAACCAGTTATTTTACTACAGTTTGCGAAAATTTAACTAGATTACTAGAGATTTTGCAGAATAATGATTTCATACGTTGTACAGTTGTTCATACAATTTAACTTCAATAACTTTGTCTTCCTAAAAATTAAAATAATACTATGGATACAAAGCATGAAAGATAATTAACCTAAATACACCTACTGATTTCAATGGCTTGCTCGTTTACAACAGTAACAGTGGGTTCAGCAGATGCCATGTTGCTTTGATACTGATGAAGTTGGTCAGAATTTCCACGTTGTGGTGTTGATTGGGAGGGACCATGTTCCGTCGGTATTGTTGGGGGAGCAGAGGGGTAGGAACCACCAGTACTCAGTGACAAACCCAGGATTTCCTTTTCTTTGTCCATTGCAACTAATTAACTTCAAAAAAGGGAAAAAATGATCTTGTAAGAAAGTTGATGAACCACGTATAGTCGCCTATAGGTCGGTTGTTAACTTTTTAAAGCTTATTTTGATGAAATTTGTCATTGACCCGCTTATAAATCGGCACAACCTTTTACAGAATCATTTGGCAATTTCAATTCACTTCTATGACGTTTTTACCCGGTTTTAAGGTATTTACATCCTCATAGTTTTAAGGGTTCAAACTAGTAAAGCTGCATTTATTTTCACTGTCTATTGTTAAAAATTAACTAATGAAAAAAAAAATGTAAAGGTTACCATATTCTTGCAGAATCTAAACAATATGAAACAGACATGTATCTCAGGATTAAAATTCGTTCATTTTTAGTGAACAATATAATAAACGTTAAGTAAAAACTGGTTAAAAACGTTATGTTATAATGCTACAGGTAAAAGTTCCAAAGTAATTGCGACTTTATAAAATAATAGAATTGAAAATATCAGGAAAGGATTTTACACAATATGTAGTACTATACTAATGAAAATGCCTGAATACAGGAGGAGTTATTGTCCTTGAAAAGATTTTAAAGGTTGAATAATTAATTAAATATAGAAAATAAACGTTTTCATAGTTCTCTTTCTTAACAAGTATTTGCATTACACCTATTGAAAAACATCCTTTTAAAAGATACATTTTCGATAGGTGTGAATTTAGATTAATAATTTTTGCAAAAACCTTTGACATCACAGGAGGATGGAAATGCCTTTATTGAAATTGTAGAAATTATGCCGATATTAAATATTAAATTATTATCAAACCAAAAAGTAATGTACAGATAATGTAAAAATAAAAATAATAAAATTATGTAATTTATTAAAGCTGAACAAGATTCATAAAAAAAATTTGTCAGCTGTATTTCATCGGTCTCTCGCTTTGTCTGACGGTCCCTATATATATAGGGCTACTCACTTAGTCACAAGTTATGCAGTGCAGTATACAATCTTATACAATAATGCGTGACTGCAATGAAATGCAATCAAAAGTATTTAAAGGCATTTAGTTACTTCGTTCCTTGTACAACTATATTAATCTTAATCTATATTGGATTTCTTTAATATGAAGTAATTTCAGATAATTATTGCAGAATGATTTATGTTTAATGACATGTAATTTGAAAATCATTAATGTTGAAAATAGATCGTATGAACAACTACTCCCTCATTTTTATTCATAAATTAAAAGTAATGCATGTCACTATGCATGAGATAAGAAAAAAACTATTCGTCCATGTTCAAGCTTACATTTCATCTATAAGATTTGGTTTTTGTAAGAGATACATTGATAAGAAAAATGAGAAAAGATACCTCTATTGGCTTTATAATTCCAAGATCGTTTTGCTTCATAATCTGTGCTAAAACATATCTCTGATTATCAACATTGTATGGAAAATGGCCGAGATTTTATAACAATTATCTCTCCGGATACTTTTTTAACATGGATGTTGCAATTGATTATTACAAGCCGGATATGACATCACAGATTATGACCATTACATACACGTACATGTACAATGTCCCTTGGTATTGTGTACACATGTAACCATCTTTTCGATTATTGCTGACATGGTTGTTGAAATAAGGAAAATTATGGGGATTTTTGTTAAAGAATTTGCACAATTTCATTAAATATTTGTGAATACCTTTCGCATTCGAAAATTTTAGCAAAGATGTTATCAAAACAGATGTATGTAACAGAAATATTTTGGTTGTTTTTATGTATATATAATTAGCTGCAGGTACAAGAATCAGAGTCCGTAATTATAACGTTTAAGCAAAATCTCATCAAAATTTAATTCATGTACTGTAAAAATTAACAGGACTGCTTTATTTTTATTTGTATCTATACCTAAAATTGTAACTTTTTTTACCAATAAAATATATATAATAGAATAATATTGATATTCTCTTGATAAATCAAATCAAAAGTGAACAGTTTACACATACCTTAAAAAAATCACAAAGTCGTTCAACGAAATTGTTTACCTCCTCAAATAAAAGAGTTCCTATAGTCTGTTTTTACCCTATGTGATTCTGAACCAAGTCTACTGTGGCTATTGAACATCACATAGGGTAAAAACAGACTATAGGAACTCTTTTATTTGAGGAGGTAAACGATTTCGTCACGGGAGCCATATTTCGAACTGGAGATTTCAGTGAATATTTTTATGTTGGGATTTACCTGGCTTATATTGCCTAAATGGTAAGCTATGAAGAAATAATGGTGACAGAGAGTCAAATAAACAACTAAATGACTTAATTAAGGCGAACGGCAGTGTGGTCTAGGTGAATAATTCTTGCTATAGTCGGCCGAAGTTGGGGTCTAATTTCCAGACGTGAATTATTAATAGTCGTCCAGAGATTCTGCGACGGCGTCAGTCCAAATATCTAGCCCAGCAGAATCTCAACAGAGATTAGTAGGATCTGTGCAACAGACATTATCTCTCTCGCAAAAAAATGGAAATGCAGTTCACTAGAATATATTTATAAAGGTATGTTGCTATAACATATAAGATTAAATGATAATAATATCAAACATCACAGCATCGGGATTGTGATTCTCGATGACGAAGAACATTAAACACCCGATAGCTAACCTCATCAAGGAATTCGTCATTTGATAAAAAGTTCACAAAATCCTCCATGAAATGTGTCATTGTAAAAGGAGCGGGGAAATTCTTTAAAAACAGTTTTTTGCCTTGAACTTCATCCAGACCAACAAGAATAGTCCAGAACTTAACGAAGTCGTTTTGTCCAATAATGAGTGACTTCTTTCTATATTCTCCCGTTGAAAAGAAATCGAAAAATCCTGTGACGACTGGCTTTACTTTCTTCGGTCTCGCACTGGGAACCACTCCCCCAACTGTTCCCTCCAAGTAATAAATGTAATCATTTACTGATATGTCATTTCCAGGTCCTAGTTTAAATATATGGTCATTCCACCATTTTTTCTGTTTTGCAGCCGACAATGCTGAATTTCTGACACCGAAAAGTTTCCTTAGCTCTTCAAATTTGGCGTTTGTTTTCTCCATATCGTCTGCACTGATGACGCCATCTTGGTCTGCATCAATAAGTCTGACCCACTGACGCCATTTCCGTCTGAACAGCCATCTTTCTGTTTGAAGAAACGCAATTTTTAGAATAGAGTAATTTTTGAAAAAAAACAAGTAGCTGTCCTGTAAAAAAGGACTGCAATACGTGGACCATATGCATGTTTTTTCTAACTGAAATCCAATAAAGAAAATTTCTATAGGTGTAGGGAATATTCATGTAGGTATGTTCATTTTTTCTACAATAATCTGCCTTCTTATAACTGATTGTAGTCTCAAAGCAAAATTGTGAAATTTTATCTCCGATTAGCGACCTTTAGTTTTATCAGTTTAAAAAATATTTGCTACGTGTAATTCATACTGACTTGGACTTGACATCTGTTCTGGATTTATACGGAAGAAATTTATCATGAAAAATAGAGATCTGATGGTTTACGAGAAGCACAGCTCTGTAGTACGCAGATTTTTTTGTCGGAGCTTCCACCCACACATATTAAAAGCCGTTGCTACAGACCTTTATCAAACGATATTTTGTTCGCTGAAACACTAAATGATTTTGCGAGCCTTTATGCGCAAAACTAATGCCGCCGAAAACTTGCTTTATCTTTTAAAAGCCATCTCTATTCGTTGAATGACGTTTTTCATTCAGATTGTTAAGTTAAATGTATCTATATAATGTATCTTAAAATGCTTGTACCATAGAATCAATGTTTAGTTTGCAAGGCCGTAACTAGGCTCAAATTTTTAGTGACGCAAGGGTGGTGGACATTCCTAGTCCCAGATGTGGCAAGGATAATACCTGATGGCCAGTGATGGGGGTTTCCGGGGTTAGGGGTTTCCTGAAACCTGGGTATTAGAAAATAAAAGATTTAATCTTAGAGAGTTTTTTTACGTTTTGAATCGTTGCCCGAATGGCACAGTGGTTAGAGCGTATGCTCTAGATTCGCAGACTAAGGATATGATCCTTACATCGCGGGTTCGAATCCCACTGCGGAATGTAGAGACATGTCCTTCGGATGAGACCGTAAAACTGAGGTCCTATGTCACAGTAAGTGATGACACAAAAAAGATTTCTCAGTTGTTTCCAATTATATTTTACATGCGTTCTAAATGAAAATGAGGCACTTGGTGAGATGAACGATTTACAGAAATTGAAACAAAAGTTGAAAATATTAATTTAACGAGAAGACACACATAATTCATAAGTTCAATTTAAAACTTTTTCACTTTTAAGAAAACTCTAAAAAAAATTTAGACCCTTGAAAATCGGATCTGCCAATGAATATGTAAATGCGATATGCAGAATTAAAAGCGCGATTTGCCAATGAATGGTATATTTTAATTTGAATAGGTCGAATTATTCTACGGGCAAGTTACCTAAGGTGCGAATTTTCTAGCATTCTCGCGCATGCGTAGCCTGTGGTTTGCCCAGGGCATCCGGTTTAACCTCGCTTATATATTTACTGCGTGGACCTCAGGGTCCACGCAAAAACTGCAAGAGAAATATACATCTTTGTAAGATCATGAAATTTATATGCAGATATTTGAGGAAAAAAGCCAAATAAAGAAGAATTTGCACACTTACTTTGATGTACAGGCATAACAAACACGGATAGCAGGATATAGGCAGCATACGGCATCAACACAGACAAATGCACTATCTTCGCGTAAAAATAGAAACTGAAGAAAACATTATCGCACTCAACTTTATACGAGGCATTCCTGCTGGTATATGCAGGGATAACTCTGGCAGCCCCTGAAATAAATTGATAAAAATCGAGCTCTGTTTTAAAGATGTATTTTTTCTAACGGGAAAACATGTTCCTTGTTTATGTTTATTTTAAGAGGAATATCCCAATTTTTCAGAATAACAGAAGTAAAATGTACATGTATATATAAATATAGATTATGTGCAACTTTAAATTTTACTATATTACAATTACAAGAAAAAACTCATAGAAATTGGCACATGAAAACTCATATATTTAAAATTAAGGTATACATATATGAATTCATCAAATACCTGCTATACATAAGGCAAAATTAACAACATACAATGCAGCTCTGATAAAAAGCACGCGTCCCATACATATTTGAGTTTCCTGGATATTACTTTGAGACTTGTGCTTGGGATTTCGATTTTCCAAAAAGGCTAGAACTCTGAAGAAGAGAACAAAGATGACAGTGGCACACAGTACCCCGCCCTCTGCCTGTATAAAAGTTGTCATATCGTGTTCCTCCTCGGTTTTTCCGCTGGAGTTCCTGGAGTTCACTGTCTTCAATGTACAATTTCCTCTGAATATGGATCCTTTAATTAAAATGACAGTGGTTAAAGCTATACATGTTATGTATGTGGCGTATCTAAGCTAAAACATATAAATAATATATTAAGTGTAGATTTCTATGATATTTGTTGTTTACGTTCAAATTTTCACCAATTTTGAACTTACATGTAAATATGCCAACGTTTCTATGGTTAAATTGACTTGAAACTGAACTTATATCTCGTACATGTTTAACTTAAAGGAGGTTCTACACATTGAACACTGAAGAATTCTATATCAGTTAAGCGATATTGATCTGTCGTACATGTAAAGACTCCTTTCTTGTCAAATATATGTATCCTTAGCATCTTCCGTAATTAAAAAAAATAGGAACCGATTACAATATTCTCTTTTTGACATAAATCCCGAACAAAGTAAACAAATACATTTGGATGGATTTTTCCAGCATCAATACACAACTGTATATGAAGACATAGCTTTTTTATTGAATGTATGAAACGTTAAAAAAAGAAATAGGACGATTTTCACCTTAGTTTGGACTCTTCGTAGGACGTGGCATTTTCGGCGCTATGTAATGGCGAATACTAGTAGATTCTCATTGGTTAAGAAATTAATAACATCAGGAACTTTAAATTGTTGTTGACAACGATGAGAAAACTTATGCTCCACCTTTGTGCCATGAGAAAACTTTTAATTGGCTATTTACTAAACCAGTTGACCTTTGGCCGGATTTCTATCCCATGTATATTTTAACAGTGAAGGAAAGCTGTATAAATTTCAGTAGCTAATTACATGTAGGTAGAATCGAATATGCTACGCCTTAGTGAAAGTCAAAACTAAGTTGGTAATGGTCCTAGATGAAGTATTAATATTAGTACATGACGTCTGTGATCATTCAATTTCTATTTACGAGATTGAACAGCTTGTAAAATTCAGGAAGAAAATTACTAGTTGTATAACTACATGTACAAGGCTAAAATGTAAAATTGTTCTTTTATTGTGGCAGTCATATTGAAAACTGCATGTTCAGCCAGATGTTAGAAAAAATTGTGTTCACAATTTTTGTTTAACGATGTAAAATTATAATGAATTACATAAACTTTTTTTAATTAACTTACCAAACGTGATATAGGTTATTGAAAATGCCAAAACTGTCAGCCAAACAATCTGTTGTAATACTGAAAAAAATAATGCGTCAAAACTTGATTTTATCCTCGTTGTCGAAAAAAAATACTCTTCTAGAATTCTCCATTCATGTTGGGAAACAGCTTACCAAAGAAATGCTGTAATATTTAGACCTACACTCGGCCAAAATGACCCTAATCACTATTAAATTGTCAATATCTTGTGCCAACAACCGTTGCGACACGGGAGTCGAATATTTCAACTACTGCAGTAATGAAGAAAATTATGATTTCAAGAAAATTTCGTAAGTTAATTTTTGAATTATAAAATGACAAGAAAATCATATCGTTTTTAAAGGATCACTCATATTTAATTACATACATTTATATATCTGTATATTTCTTTTTCTTATCTAACATAAACTTACCCGAATCTTCAAAACATTCGTGAAACTTCTCCCATATATTTCTGTCATCCTTGATATAAGCATTTGATTCCTTCTTCCGTTTTGGAGCTTGTGAAACTTTTTGCCTAAAGATATCATCGTATGATGGCGGGGAGTCTTGGAAAAAAAGAAAATTATTAATTTATTGCTTCACTTTCCATTTTTTGCGTAGGAGAAATGAACTGACGAAAAATATTGTTGAATATATACATTCTCTAAACAGATACAATACTATATATGATTGTATGATATGTTTCTACCGATAGTTTGTGAAATAATTGTGAAATATACAATACATATTCATATATATAAATCATGCCACTATTTCTTGGCAGATAGTTTCAAATTTGAGAACGGTGCATCACCAGATTGCAAAACAGGTTTTACGATAACCAAACTCTGGAACCCCCTCAAGATACATTAATTACAACATTTTTTTTTTCTTTTCAGTTATTCTTTATTTTACATTTTTCACTGATATCCAATAGTTTTGAATTTTTATGTCCAATAAATGGCGAATAATGGGTCATGACGCCTTAGATGCCCCTCTCCTCCCCTTTGAATCAACGCAATTTATTGAACAGCTTGCTCTGACATCAATATAATTTTGAATATTCATATTCCCAGAACATTATATTGCTATAGCAATAGATATAGACTGACTTATTATCTCGTCCTCCTATGCTACTACATGTATACACTTGCCCCGTGGGGATCCGGGTTAGAATCGGTCCTCAGTACCCCTTTGCTTGTCGTAAAAGGCGACTAAAAGGGGCGGTCCTTCGGATGAGACCGAATAAACCGAGGCCCCGTGTCACAGCAGGTGTGGCACGATAAAGATCCCTCTCTGCTCAAAGGCTGTAAGTGCCGAGCATAGGCCTAAATTTGCAGCCCTTCACCGGCAATGGTGACGTCTCCATATCAGTGAAATATTCTGGAGAGGGACGTTAAACATTATACAATCAATCAATAAATCCTATGCTACTAGGCTTTACCTTGGCCCCCTTCACCTGGTCCTGAATACTCGGGGGGCGAGGACGGAGAGGAACCGTTCTCCTTCATTTTTTCTTTTAATAAACTGCTTTGCTTCTCCTTTCTTTTATACCTACATCATGTACATGTACATCAGAGACAGAAATATTCAGAATATAATTTATCAAGAACAGATCTGATCTCGGAAGTTCCATAGTTCAGACAAAATGCAATCGTTATAATATTTTACTTGAAGCAACCATTCACTATAACTATTAAACTTATATTTTGTCAAAAAAGGAGGGACATGTAATCAGTTCTTCTCTATTTTATAATTCGTCGTTTGTATTTGTGACCTATAAATGTATATGACCATACATAATTTAAAAATCTTCTTTTATCATATTATAGAGCAACAATTAAGATGTATTTATTTACAAAATATAGTCCCTCCAAAACAGATGCACATGGAATAGTGCACATTTGAAAAAAAGAATGATCTAACCTGTTTTGGTGACGAAATCTGAGGAATCGGCAGTGACCAGCTTAGTTAAAGTACTCCATCAGAATTTATTTCAACAGAAACAAATAAAATGAGGTTTTATGGCTGCCTGTAGTTAAGATGTATTGTGTTGACATCAGAGATTTTGTAAATCACCATTACAAACCGGACATTCTTGAGCAAATCCTATGTACATGTATTTGAGTATTTATAATCATACGTATCAATACTATACTATCACGCAGCTTATGTTTATTTCATAACTCGTTATCCTGTTAGAGAGAGAGAGAGAGAGAGAGAGAGAGAGAGAGAGAGAGAGAGAGAGAGAGAGAGAGAGAGAGAGAGAGAGATCGAAACATTAAAGTTACCCCGATGTCTAGACAAAAAACAGTAGATCTCTTTAAAAAGAAATGAATTCAAATAGTTAGAGGGGGGATTATACGAAAGCCCAGAAGGCCCATTGTAAATACGAGATGAAATTCGAGCTCGAAATTCGAGATTCAAAATTCGAGTTTCTTAAAGATCCAAGAACCAATCAAAAGCGGGTTCAACATTTGATTATTTCCCTTTATTATGTTTTTACTATCAAGAAATAATTCAAAATAATTATATCAAATGGGTCATTTCATTAAATTACAATGCAAGAAAAAGTGTTATAAAATATATATTAGAGGGAAATTTAAATAATTAATGGATTTTTGATAATGAATATTTCAATTTATATTATAGAAACATTAAATAGATTACATATATCAGGAGTATATAATTATATTTTTGTATTAATGACAAATTACCGGCCGCCAGGAGATTTTATATGATTAAAGTTCATCGCTGTGCGTTTCTGCGGAGTTAAAACAATTTAAATAAAAAATATTTAACATTAAGATATGAAGAATGAGGTAAATAATTGTAGAAATTTATATGTTAAATGCAAAATTTCTGTGTTCAAGTGAAATAAAAGCGTTATGTATATTACACAATTTTAATTCAAACGGGATTTGTTGTACGTATATAAAATGCACATATGTACACATATAAACATTTTGAAAAATATGGTTAAATGTAAATTCATTAAAAGACTTAGCAGGCTACAAAATATTCAAGATTTGGCCCTTAGCAGTAATGCGCGTTTTACAATGTGCCAAATTTTCACAATTCAAGAAATGAAGTGGCGGATCGAAGTTCCTCTAAGAGAGAGCAAGGATAATATATTTTTATTAAATTAAACTACACTGCATATCTAGTTGTAGATTACATTTAATTTTAGTTTTAAACTTTTAATGTAAATGCCATACAGGCCCACGGTTCAAAAGTTGTTGACGCAGAGTAATTGACCCTGACACATGCATTATATAATTAAGAAAATCATGCAATGTACAGCTTTTAATATCACGAGGATATATATTAAAAGATAAATATAAGATATTTTAAAAACAGACCACCATTCTTTAGTTGCTTCATAAAAGGAACATTAATTGGTTTGCGATTTTTGACGCTTACGTCAATACATGTTTCTTGTCTTAATTTTTACCAGGTACTTGGAACTTTGATATTGAACCCCGGGGCTTATTTCTCTGATGTGTAGCCTTACAATAGGTTCGCTTCCCCCAGAATAATCGCTGAATTTCACTTACAAGAAAGAAAGCTGTTTACGGAAAAAATGTGGCGTGATGCAGAGTCAGTCCGATAGCATGGATTTCAGTGGCAGATTTAGGGGGGGGGCACCCGGCGCGCGCCCCCTTAAAATTGTCCAAGTTAGCATAAAACATAGTTTGTCGAGAAAATGTTTTAAATGTCTACTCGGTACCTCCCCTACAAAACTTCAGAATCAAGAGCTTCGGCCCCCCTGGGCCCCCACCAAAGGCTTTGCCCTGGACCCACTGGGGGCCTCAAGGCGGCCCCCAGACCCCCTGCCTGAATCTGGCACCCCCCTAACTTCAATTCCTGGATCCGCCCCTGGAAATACATTGTATATGTAGAGACAGTGTGAATCGACATATAAAGTTAAAACAAAATAAATGCATTTAACACCAATGGGGGTAACAGTTGACAGTGGAAATCCTTCTCTTATAATGTATAGTGGGTATTTGGGGGGGGGGGGGGTATGCTGCATTATTCTGGGGATTTTACAATTTTTTGTTATTGTATACACACGTTTAATAAATAAAACTGTGAAAAAAATGTAAAAAGCCCTATGGTGACAGGGGGAGGAGGGATTACCTTTCACAAGTACCTGTGGTTTTCCTAACACAGGAAATGCATAAAACAAAAACAATAAAAATATATATACTCTGATATATGTCTATTTAATATTTAAAAATAATATAAATAAAAATATTTTTTGTGACAAAATTCCATTAATTATTTAAATTTCCCTCTAATATATATAACACTTTTTCTTGCATTGTAATTTAATCAAATGACCCATTTGATATAATTATATTGAACTATTTCTTGATAGTAAAAACATAATAAAGGGAAATAATCAAATGTTGAACCCGCTTTTGATTGGTTCGTTTGGATCTTGAATCTCGAATTTCGAATTTTGAATCTCGAATTTCGAATTTTGAATCTCGAATTTCGAATCTCGTATTTGGAAACTCGAATGAGCCTTCTGGGCTTTCATAGGATTAAAATGTCTTGATTTCTGTTGTTGTATGACATCCATGGTACCTAGTACATAAAAATTCATTATGTACATTATCAATTTAATTAACATATTGGATTTTAAGATTATAAACACATGTATACTTTTTTAATATATAAATTTACAACTGAAATATTTTAATTACAGTGCTATAATAATAATATTTTTAAGAACTATTCAATCATCGAAAGAAAAGGAGGGGGGTTAATATGTGTTTTGATTAAACCTTTATATTAATTTCGTTTTTCCTCAAGACATTGAACAATTATTAGCAACCCTAGCCCCTCTTAAAGTTATTTTTTCTCTGCTTGTCGAGTGACTTAAACGGGCGGATTCAGAACTTTTTTTTCAACTCCAGGGAAAAAAAATTCAGGCCTCGTCTATATTTATATCTATTTGGTGGGGGGGATTTACCCAATTGGTTTTTACCAAAAAAACCCCCCAAAATACACCTACCTACCAATTTTTTTATCCTTAGTTGCAATTGGGAGAGGGCTTTATCAAATATGACCCCAATAAGGTGTACATGTACATTTCATATTTTTCACTAGTTTTTAGAGTCGGACAGGTACATGTAATAGTTTTTCAAAGGAGGGGGGGTATATTTATTATTAACAGCAGACCCTGAACTAAATTTATCCAAAAGAAAAGGGTCTAGGTTGATACATATCCCATATCAACAAATATAAAGACCAGTATTCAATTACATATTTTTTTCAAATATTTATTCCTTTTAAACACAACATTTGTTAAAATACCTTCTACATATTTAACAATACTTCACATATCCACATCAAAGAAATAATATTATTGCAGAGAAACAGAGGAAATGACCAGCATGACCATACATGTACGGTGCCAGGTTTTTTTTTTAATTTACAAATGAGACTCTTTTTTTTAAAAAACAAAAACTTTTAAATTAATTAATCGGAAAAAAATGTTTACATATATATAGGACGGATATTTGTAGGCTAGGACTTAAATAACCTCTCTTTTTTCAATTCTTCTATAAAAAATTGATCTTCAAAAAAAAGATTGTCAGATAAACAAACCGTAATAATATCATTGCAAACAAATATTATTTGAATTAAAGTCATTAAAAATATTAAATAAAAATCATGTTCAAGTAGCAAATGTTTATAATAAAAATATTTCATTATAATGATAATATCAACAAAATCTTAAACATAAAAACAGAACCACAAATACATGTTTTGGTCCAATAATAAAAAAGACGTAATGCAATTAATTAATTAATAAATATTATGCAATAATTATTATATTCCATTCATAAATAAAACAACAATGTAGTCATCTTCGCTAGCAAAGATGATATTTAGATTAATTTATATAACAAAAACAACAACGAACCATTTAATTTAAAAGGACATTGTACATATATATCACAACATTATAACAACATAAATTTTCAACATTGCTTGCGTCTCGCTAAAAGTCCACAGGTACGAAATTGAACAATTTGGTAAAAATTAAACAAAGTATATCATTATATCAAATTTGATATGGATCTTTAATATTATTCATATTAAGCAACTCAAAATAAAAAGTTGTACATTTGTACTAATGTTTGAAGAATATTGTACACAATTAAACATGTAATACTATCATTGCTTTTGGGGGATGAGAGTTGGGGCTAGGGATGGGAGAGTGAAAAAATACAGTTCTGTAATGTATTTATTGTGTACTTACATGTATATAGTGTGCATTTGCTACACTTAATGGACTCAATAATTCAGTCATAAATTGTTTCAAGAAGATGAACGAGTTTAATTTGTGACTTGCACAAAAAAAGGACAAAAAAAAAGCAGATTGCTCAGTTTAAAATATGGCAAAATCAACAAATTCTACATATAGACTTCTACCTGTACACCGTAATCTTAAGGTGCATTGACCCCCTTATAAAATAGAAAACTCTTATTGTGTTAAATGAAATATTTTTCATTATGATAAAATTATTAAGGCCTTTCTGAACTTTCTGTATTTATTTTTCTTTATCGCGAAGTATTTGAAAAAAAAATGTTAATTTAAATAAAATATCAATTATTATTATTTAAAAAAAAACAAAAACTTAATGTTGCTCATTAAAGCAGAAGTTAATTTCAGCCAACTGGGTTTGAGGAACCTTAACATACAACACAGTCCCTACAATGCATTATTTCTACACATCGCAGCAATTACCTGATCTTTGTATCAGGACGTTATATACTCTGTTGCCGTATTCATTCCAAAATTCATCGTGCGATGTAAAGGCCACAAAATCCTCCAGAAAATACGCCATTGTTAAAGGGGTCGGTATATGCTTGACGAACTTTTCTCTACAATGGCGTTCATCGACATCCGCAAGAATTGTCCAAAATTTGACAAAGTCTTCCTCTCCAAGAATAAGATTCTTCTTCCGGTAATCTTCCGTCGAGAAGAAGTTGAAAAATCCGGTGATGAAGGGCTTAACTTTGTTTGCTCTTTCATGAGGAGGTACCGCGCCAACAGTTCCTTCTAAATAACTGATATAATCCTCCATTGATATATCTTTTCCGGGTCCACATTTGAAGATGTGGTCGTTCCACCATTTCTTTTGGTTTGCGACTGACAGAGCTGTATTTCTGGCACCAACAATTCTGCGAATGTGTTCCAGCTTCGCATTTGTTTTCTCCATGTCGTCTGTGCTGATGACGCCATCTTGGTCTGCGTCAAGGAGTCTGACCCACTGACGCCATTTACGTCGTAGAAACCACTTCTCTGTTTGAATAGATATAAAATATATTAATAGCTTTCTTTTAAACTTCTACTCTTCATAAAGCAGAAAAGCTCACTATGGAAGGAGAGAGAAAGAAAGAGAAAGAGAGATTTTGTGAATGATTTTCACACATTCATTATTATTTGTATACATGTAAAGGTGTATTGTTTCAAATTTAGCCTTATCCGTATATACCTTTACACTTAGCGACAATATATTCCGTTAAGCTAGTGTAGAACGCCACTAGGACAAGTCTTGATCAGAAAACCGCTATTGTTAAATCTGGGTACAAAGAACGTGAACAATACTCGTACTTACTTTGTAGATGAGGAATAAAAAACAATCCCAGGAGGACATAAAGAGCGTACGGCATCAGGAGGACCAGCTCCGCGATCTTGGCGTGGTAGTAAAAGCTGTAGAACTCTTCATTGCACTTGTGGGTTGTATTTGGGCCATGGTCATTATAAAACGGTATAACCTTCGTACCTCCTGCAAAAGGATTCAATAACAATATATTTAAATTTTATATCATTAATTTTTATATTTTTGAAAGACCTTGGTTTTTTTATTTAGAATATTTTTATTTAGAAATATCTTAAGAAAACCCATATCTTTTTTAATCTCAAATAGTATGCATATTATTAGTTACATAGTCTTTTTGTGACAGGTACATAAAGACCAATAATACTTAGATGTAAGACTTATTAAATCATACACGATTCTAACTATCCCTAGAATTGTCTTTTGTTTGATTTTGCTTTTAAATATAGTAAAACTGGTGACCACTTATTAAAAATACACGATTCTAACTATCCCTAGAATTGTCTTTTGTTTGATTTTGCTTTTAAATATAGTAAAACTGGTGACCATAAAAAATCAATTTAAGGGGGGCGACTACGGTTTTATTGTGTGAAAACTACAATAGCGAAACTATTCATTTTTATACCATTTATAACTTACATTAACTTAAGTGTACATGCAAAGTGTATCGCCCAGGTATTTTTAAGGGACCGTCTCAAAATGCAGGTACATTTACAATTATAGGATTATTTAGGAAAGTGCCAATTTTTCGCATTTTAAAGCAATTTATACAAATACTGCAATAGACTTTTGCTCAAACTATAATATATGAGTAATACTATGTTGTACATTATATGTAAGAACCACAAAATTCTACCACCCTGTTTCCTGAGGGAGCATCTCAAAATGCCAAAAAAAAAAAAAAAAAAAAAAACGAATTTCCTTGTTTTTATAGAGCACTATACAATATGACCCATGCAAAGGATTTATTCAAAAAATTATAATTATGACGGAGAGATTATCAAATTCCTATGTTTAAAAATTCAAGAACATAATTATAATATATGTTTATTATTTTTTTCTTTTACAACATTTTTTATTACCCCATCTTTGAGAGCGTCACGTTATCTAACGTCAAAAACACACTATTGCGACACCAATCTACCTGTCAGTTTAAAAATCGTTTTAAAAATCAGTTATTTAAAATTATAATAAAATTTTTTGACACTTAATTTCTTAAGTTTGTATAGTTTTATGAATAAAGTGAAAAAAAGTTGCTTTAAAAGAGTAAATACGCTTCATTTTACTATGATGCGCGAGATATTGCGCAATGGAAACTATAGTCGGCCCCCTTTAAGGACGCATTCTACTGATAATGCTGCATTCGTCTTCTCTAGTAAATTTTGGGTTAAATCTTGACATTCAAAAAAGTTTAACTCCATGCTCCACAGATAGGAGGTTTTCGAACATTTATTTCAATGTTTGTGAAAAGGGGGTGTCCTGTATTCCAGGAAAGGCCCAATTAAAGTCGCGATGGATCATGCTGGCTGAGGTGTCAGCCATTTTTAGGGAACTTCTCTTATTTTATCTTAAATACGTGTCCACTAATCATTAGCATCCATTTGCAATAGAATCTTTGTGTAGTTTTGAAAATATTCTGAAAAATATCATGTGTTCAGAGAAAGAAAATTTTCAGTCATTGTCTATGAATAATCCCACTTTATCTCCGCAAAAAACATCTTAATACTATGTCATTAATTTCTATAATCTCAGAAAAAAAAAATTATTTTCTGGCGTTATGAGGAAAAATCGTGAACAATTTGGGGGAAAAAATCAACATCTCTCACAGTGAAGATAGCTTAGGAAAGGGATAAAATAAAATATTTAGGTAAAGAACACCTTTTTAAAGAACTGAGTATTTAAAATTTCAGATATTCCAAAAATTTAATTTAAATTTGCTAGCCTCTGAATCTTACATTATTTCCCTCCCCCTCCCCACCCAAAAAAGAGTTAACCATCATAAAACCTACCTCCAATACACAATCCAAAATTAGCAACATAGAGAATCAGGATAAGGAAAAACAAATGTCCTCCGCATTTTTTATACCCCTCAAGGTCACTCCTGGAGTGGCGCTTTGTCCGGAATCTGTCCAGCACCTCCAGCAACCGACACAGGAGGACGAAGACGATGGTGCCACACATGACTCCGCCCTCGGCTCGAATAAAGTCGGTCAGATTCTCTTCTTGTACCAGTTTCCCCTTCTTATTATATTTTCTCCACGAACATTGTCCATCATAAATCAAACCTTAAAAAATAGAATAATATTTTACTCCTTCGGATTAAAATATTTATAAATATGTATTAATTATTACGATCAAATCATCAAGTATCATAAACAAACTGCAAATGTCTTTAATCTATAATTAGCATTTCAATCCCTATCAGCATTTATGAAAAGCAGAATCGAAAATCTTGAAGAAGCACATAATTCTATTTCAAAATCAAAGGTCAAGGGCAAAGAAACTGCCTAGAGGGCAATTAAAATTTGACTTACCATATGTGATGAAGGAAATAGAGAAAGCTAACCATGCCAACCATATTATCAGCTGTAGAACTGAAAATGAAAAATAATATCGGAAAATTATAGAATTCTATCTTAATTTTGACTAAAGTATCTTTTCAGTTAGATTAATCCGATCCTCGATCGACTCCTTTTTTGTCGCTACATAAAAAATAAAGGAGTGGATCGAAGATCTGATTTTAATAAGATAGGTAGGGACTATAAAATCCTTATATGGTAAACATGGTAAAGCCCAAAGCCTCATTAGGACGACTGGATGACACTCTGGGGAAGCAAGTAGTACAAGTATATTATCACATAAAGTTTAATTGCTTTAATGATACGGATGCTTTATATTACATAACTTAAAGTTTGTTTTAGTAATTATACAGATGTTTTTTTTTTTAATCCGGAAAATTTCTTTTGAAACATAAGAATCCGTGTATTAAATGTGCCCGAACTGCAATGGATCTTTTAATTTAATTTAATCAATATTTTATTATGTTAGATTACATAATTGATCTTAGTTTATTCATGGGCCAATATAAATGTGGATGTTTCACCTTTCGTACAAATTCGTTGAGTATAGAATTTACTTTTATTTATATATTTATAAAGAAATATTCAGCAGATAGATAGTCTAACGCGCTGTTCCTGTACTGCTAGGAGACAGATTCCGTAGGTCGAGAGTTCAACCCCGGGCTGGGGCGGAAGTGAGTATCCTTATAAAAGTGAATTTCTTTGTGCTTTCTATATGAATATTTCTTCACTTAGGGCAGTTATATTAGTGTAAGAGTTGTTGTAAATTGTGCTTTATATAGAGAATAATACATACTCTTTTCCATATCATATCCATCCTGTGTCAGCCCGAGACACCAATATCAGCCAGAGGGCCGAAGGACCGAGGGCTGATATTGGTGTCTTGGGCTGACACAGGATGGATATGATATGGAAAAATGTGATGTGGAAAAGGGTATGTATTAATATATTTATTACATACTTAGTAATAAAATACAGCATACATTTAAGTTGAGAAGAAAAGAAGTAAATTATCATGCATAGACTTCTTACATACATGTACATGGTCTATTGTCTCATACATTTTGGGTTTGTTTCTACTTCTATTTCAATGCACTCAATCCGTAATTTGAAAATAATCTATTACATGTATTTGTAAATTAAGATTAACCTTATTTTCAAAAAGATAAAATTAAGAGAATATGAACACACCAAAAATTGTGTATGATCACAAGTACTGTTTTTGTGTGTAATTTACTACGGGTGTGATATTGACGTCACAATAGCCGTATCAGCCTTGTAGGGCTGATATGGATTTGCGGGGCTGATATAGGTTATCAGTCCTGCAAATCCCTATCAGCCCTGCAGGGCTGATACGGCTATTGTGACGTCCGCCATATCGCATATGCTAAAAATCTCATTTTATTGGTTACGGATATCAATCCAAGCCAATTGTTGCAATTTAATACAAAATACTGCTGAAAAGTCCTTTTGGCGTTGTTACAGAGGGAAGGCCGGGGGAAACGCTCAAATTTTATTGATTAAAAATGCATATCAATAATAACTTGTATTTATTACTAAGTGTGTAATATTATTCATATATATATATATATATATATATATATATATATATATATATATATATATATATATATATATATATATATATATAAATAATAGTTTTCTTTAATAAGGATGATTTGCTTATATTTTGGGAACATAGATGACTGACTTGTCTATTTCTAGCTGAATAATATGACATTGACTAATTCTTAAGAGTTTTTATGCATAATATTGCTGAATGTTTACAGAACGTTTCAGAATCAATATCATTTCATTATTTTAAACATTTCAAAAGTATAAAACACATAACCAGAAATCGATAGATTTCAGTAAGGTTTTCAATAAGTAAACATGGTTAAGATACAATGTATGTTAAAAGTCAACGATTGTTTTTCTTAAATAATAAACCTACTAAAACAATGGTATGGTTGATACAATTTATGAGGAAAAACACTAGGGGTGGGGGGATAAAATATACATAAATAAGAAATGAGCATGATTGCACTTTACAGAAATATTACATTTTCTTTAACACAAAAATTAACTTTTTTTTTTTTTTTTTTTAGAAATATTGGAAATTTTGTGATTTAAAAATTTTAAAATCCGCACTCAAGGGCTTGTAACTTATTTTTTTATCATTTGCGTAAAATTATTTATAGTCCCTTACTTGATAATTCAAACCATTCGTGAACTTTTTCCCAGAGATTCCGGTCATCTCCTTTGTACGCGTTCGTTTTGTATGACTTGGGCGGATCTGTAGTTCTTCGTGTGAATATGGCGTCATAAGCCGGCGGTGGACCTAAATGTAAAAAAAATATACAATTATATGTTAAGCCAATGACATATCTGATGAATGCGATAATTATATTGAAATTAAAAAATAGTCTTTCAAACATCCACGTATATGACCCACAAATAATGTAGATGTGTAAATTTGATTCTGTTGTTTTTTTTTTAATTCATGGATATAGATTTAATATAAAGGACTTCAGATATAAATTAATGTTACTTTTGCTGAAATATATATATTGCCCGACTCGCTGTTAAACAATAAACAATCACTTACATTGTATTTAATTAATCAAACAATCATGACTATATAGATAAAAACTACTTACTTAATTCATGTACTTGGTCCGGTGTAACAATATCTGTCGCTCCAATCACAGAAATCCCCGAGTTTCCCGGTAATTCATAACCAGTGCTCGGTCCTGAATAGGCAGGGGGCAACGAGGGAGGTGGACCGCTTTTCTCCATTCCAGTAAACGAATTCTGAGTGATATCACCCACGGACATCGATCAAGTTATACTAACAACTTCAACATGAAACAAAGTCGGATGTTTTTAAGAAAAAAAATGTCCGACCTTCTCATGTTAAAAATCCTGACACCGAAGATTTAATATTTACAACGATAGCATCCGTGTTTGCAATCTGCTATTGCAAAATAGATTTCCTCTCATTGGCATGCGCAGAAGTATTTATAGATTATAGGTAATTCACAGGTAAGTAGATCAAAGTGACGAAGCGGGTACCGGTATATATTATGCAGGTTCAATAACTCGTACTAGCAATATTAACCATTACCCTACGCTCAATACACTAATAGATAGACCTATTGGTTATATTTATATTAGTTCTAGCTTATTTCATGTGCGTATGCAAGAGCGTTAGAAGCTTTATTTTAATGTGTCAGAACTTGACCAGCTGTGTCCATTTATCAGTTATTTTACAAGAAGAGAGCGAGAGAATATAGATAAGTTGCAGATGCCCTGCACACTAGCCGCGCGCGCTTTAGCACTTTCCCCCGTGAAATGGTGAAAAAGTTATGAGTGGTTTCTGTTATATTATTATTTGATAATATTGAATGACCAAAGTTTTACAGATTAAAAACCAATGACCTAAAACGTTCGAAACAGGAAAAATGTCCTATAACAGAGGATATACTGTACATAAATTACGAAATATGAAATCCATGGCAGATAGGTCCAACAAATCGAAAACAATTGGTAAGATACAAGTTTTTGTTCGAACAAACCAAACAGGTAGAAAACAGACGAACGTACAAGACAAAAATTGTCCATCATGAATCCTTGACTATTCAACGGTGATTGAAAAATCTTGTGTCTAGAGTAAAATTTCATCGTCTGATTCTTTGATAAATAAGGATCACACTAAATTTATTTGAATGTCAAAAATATACCGCATAATGAATTTATCAAAAACACTTTCAATACACTTTTCACACATGGCGACCACTTGCCAGCAGATTATGTTCAATGCAGCTTGGCATTTAGCTTAACTAATAATTGATTTTAGTACAATAGGTTCATTTGTCAGCATTCTCTTTCTTTTTTTTTTTTACCACAGAATCAGCTTTCAAATGGTCTTCTACAATTAGGCTCCTCATGACCTTATGGACACAATATTCTTTCCCTCTGAATTTTAACGTTAATTTTTCTTTTCACACAATGTATATTGCCTGATACAGGCCTAAAAACCAAAATGTACGGCCCCTTTTGACAAAAATCTTCTCTGTTTTGTATTATAAGGTTTTTATATAGTTTAAGCTTTTAGTTTTCCAAAGTGCAGTACTCAATCACTAAAATAATAATTTTAAACCAATGTCCTTTATGTTTAAAACATGACTTCCAAATTTAACTGCTAATTTATATGAGGTTAATTATAACAAGTATGACAAAAGCCCATGAACTTTTCGAACAACACTTTAATCATGTTGTAAACTAGTCGTATACGAATATAAAAAAAATTGAAGTTAACTATATAAACTTGTGTTTCTTTAAATCTTTTCAACATCTCTTTGGTTTTTGTTTTAGGATAGCAAACAATCTCCAATTATTATAATGCCAAGGTTCATTGTTTGACACTAAAGTAACAAAATCCCCCAACAAAGAAGCAATAGTAACTGGTGAAGGTACACACTTTATCAGCATTTCCTTGCAGTGTTGTTCCTCAACGTCTGCTTGAATAGCCCAGAACTTAACAAAGTCCACTCCTCCAATTATCAGATTTTCCCTCCGATATGTTTCAGTTGAGAAGAAATTAAAGAACCCCGTTATGATTGGCCTGAATTTGTTTGCCCTTTCAGGTGGTGGTCTATCATTTCCAATCAGCCCCTCTAAATAAATCATAAAATCTTCAAGAGATATATCTTTTCCGGGAACACACCTGAACACGTGACTGTTCCACCATTTCGTCTGTTCCTCTGCAGACGGTGCCGAATCTCTGCCGTTTATAAGTAAGCGGATCCGTTCAAGTTTAGCGTTTGTTTTTTCCATGTCGTCTGCACTAATGACGCCATCTTTGTCTACATCTAGAATTCTAGCCCACTGGCGCCATTTATGCTGACTGAACCAAGATTCTATTTAAAAAAAAAGATAGAGATCAACATAAAACATTATTTGCAAATATATCTAAAAAAAACAACAACAACATGTTCGATATAGCCGTTTTTTCAACATTTTTAGGCACAGGTACATATTACATATTAACTAATATATAAAATTCACTGTATATAATCTTACCTTGTATTGTAAATAATATGATATAAGCAATCAAGGTATAAGCAGCGTATGGCATTAAGACAGCTAGCTGTCCTATTTTGGCATTGTAGTAAAAGTTGTATTTTAACTCAGGCTGGCACACAGACGTGAAGTTTTCGAAGTTCTCGTCATACAAATCTAAAATCTTTCTAGCCCCTAAAAGTATTAATTTAATGCTATTATTAGTATTGGAGTAAAAATAAATGTAACATTTTAGGGAGATGACAGCTATTCGACCCAAATGAAAACATAATTTTCCAACCTTTAAGGATCATATATACTATAACTCTTAGTGACATAAAAGTCTATTACCATTTGCACTTTAAGAAGAACGAGAGGGACCATACCGAGTTTTGGTATTAAATCTAAATGCATAAGCTCAAAACTTCTGAGATATCGCGAGAAAACGAAAGTTTTACACACACACACACACACACACACCCTCTCTCATACACCCTCCCTCACACACACACCTAGTCCGAAAAATCTGACGTTTTCCAGGCTTTTTTTACGAGTTTGATATTTCACATGCTAGGACTTTTTCCTGGCATGTAAAATATCAAAATCGTAAAAAAAAAGCCAGGAAAACGTCAGATTTTTCGGACTAACACACACCCTATCCCTTACATACACAACCTCACACACAGAATGTATGAATCTACGACCTTGACCTTGCAATTGGGTCCTTTGACCTTTAATAAATAGGGGACTTTCTGAGGTCATAGGGAGTTGAAGTGTATTATTACATTGTAATTGCTGAAAGGCTTCTTCATATATCGCGAAAAGAAAAGTGTTAAAGAAGATAAATTTATTTGGATTTTATTACACTGACCCCAAAAACTTTTGACCTAAAGAACAGTAGGGGTCTTTGTAAAAAATCATTGCAAATGCTTATACATTTCTCAAGAAAACGCTCGGAAACGCAAGTGTAACAGACACACAGATAATATACAACGATGATGGGCCAAATATGATTTCCATTATTCTTTATTAAGAATTACTCTCTATTTAGTAAAGAATGCCTGGGCATCAATGATAGTTGGAAACGTAGAATAATTTATGCTTCGCGCGTTATGCAAATAATGTTTCTAACTCTCGTTGATGTTCCTGGCATACTCTACCTATACAGTGATTCCTTATATTTCCATTTCATTGTGAAACGCAATTGTTCATTTAGATTTTTTAAATGTAGACTAATAGACTTAAATACAATAGGCATCCCATGTCAATTCGATAGTCCACGCCCAGTGACATCAAACACAAAGACAAGACTTATGAACATGCATAAAAGGCCTCTTTAGCTCCTTATATATCGCTTGACGAAATTGACATTCTGGAAGAATGATCAGGAAACCAACTAAATTTTTCAAAGAATTGTCACAGAGAAAAGTAATATAAATGGAAATATTCACATTTCAACATTTTGGTGTGCTTTTATAGAATTTCAAAAGAACGTATGGTAGATTTTACTTTTGTACAAAGAAGCAGATTTGAGCCGCATAAGCAGAGTATGATAACTTTAGAGTCGTATCAATGGACAGAAATAAAACAATCCTAAGAACATGTATATTGAATAAATATTGATGAAAACTTTTTCCCGTAAAGACATACATTAAAATTATTATGTTACAAATATGAAGTAACAGAGAATATCGCACGGAATGAAGTGTTGATGAACATGTACACATTTGTTTACACTTTGTTGCAGCACCCATTCTGTTTTTGTTTTAGAACAGCAAACAGCCTGTATTTGTTATAATTGAATATATCGTCGTGTGACACTAAGGCTACAAAATCATCTAACAAAGAGGCAAGAGTTAAAGGTGAAGGAACATGCTTGATGAACATTTTTCTGCAGTGATGCTCATCGATGTTTACAAGAATAGACCAGAACTTAACAAAGTCTCTCTCTTCTAGTATCAAATTCTTCCGATATTCTTCAGTTGAGAAAAAATCAATGAACTGTATTATTATTGGCCTAAATTTGTCCGGCCTTTCATGGGGTTGTGCAAACCCTTCTAAGTAGTTTATGTAATCCTCTAGACATATATCTTTTCCCGGACCACATTTGAACACATGGTCGTTCCACCATTTCTTTTGTTCCTCTTCTGATGGTGCTATGTCTTTGCAATTTACAATTAAGCGGATCTGTTCCAGTTTAGCGTTTGTTTTCTCCATGTCGTCTGCGCTGATGACACCATCTTGGTCTGCATCTAGAATTCAAGCCCACTGGCGCCATTTATGATGTAAAAACCAACTTTCTGTTTTGGAGAAGTAAAGATATATATAGCAATGAAAAATGAAAAATGAAGATAAGCTCACATGAGTAATAAAATAACATTACATGTATATTTTAATCATTAAGAATTTTTTTATGATAATTAACAAAGACAATCCATTAAATATTCTCAGTGGTTTGAATAAAGTATTAAAAATAAGGAATACAAAGTTAACACGAAAAATCTCAGCAGCGCTTTAGGCCCTACAATCTAGCCTCTGAAGATTTAATGATAGGTCTAAAGATTCACTGGGGTATTTAATTGTTTTTCTTCTAAAATGTTATATATATATTATCTTACTTTGTTCTAAAGATAATATGCTCCAAGCAATTAAAATGTAAACTGCGTAAGGCATTAAAACAGCAAGCTGTCCAATTTTGGCATTGTAGTAAAATTTGTAGAACTTGGGATGGCAGACGGATGTGTAGTTCGTAAAGTCTTTGTCATACAAACTATAAATCTTTGTTGCTCCTGAAATGATAATTTCACTTTTATGTCATTTTATGTCAAGGGAAAAAAGTATATTTTGTTTTATTAGAACATTGTATCTTGCATGATCTATATATCTAGGAATAAATACATTACAGCTACAGTGTACGACTAACAAATTTTCAGATTTCATTTTGTTGCGTCAGGAATCATCTTTTGATTATTTTAGATGCACATCACAGAATAAATGTGATTTTAAAAATTGCACTAACCAGCAATACATAAACCGAAATCAGCGAAATATAAAACCATGCCAATGAAAACGAAAATGGCTCCAAGCAAATTTTTGCCATCTATATCAGATATTGAAAAAGGTTTTTTGAGGCGATTTTCACGAAGAGCGTTAATCCTGCACAAAAAGACCCATAAAATAGTAGCACAGAGGACCCTGCCCTCTGCTTGAATAAACGCTGTAAGGCTTTCTTCTTCCTCCTTGTCTCCTTCTTTATTAAACTTTCTCCAGTAACACTGGCCGCTGTATTTAATACCTTTTGAAAAAAGAGAATCATCTAAGAAAGGACTGTATGCGGTATATTGCATAATTTTGCCCCCTTTATCACACATTTACGGAAATATTTTATTTTAATATGTTTTAAAACAGAAGGATACCTGAAGATTTCAAAGCACTGAATATTTTCATAAGCTATTGTGTTGTATGTTTGATATGACGACAGGGAAATGACTTTAATTTAAAATTTTCATTATTTCTACAGAAAAAAGGCGTTGATTACGCCGATATTTTGAGTAAAAAGTCACAGAGCGCAGGTCTGCTCCGGCTCAAAATTTTATATATGTAGAATGATAATATCAACAAAATATGTAAATATTTTTCTGGGGCAGGCCTTCGTCCTATTAATTTTATAAAAAAAAAATTGAGACAGTTTTGTCCAATTTTTCCTCTCTCTCAAAAATAATACAAAATCTTAATACTAGTAGTGTGTGATGACATTAAAGACAAAAATTGTAAATACCATGCTTTGAACCTATAATATGTTTTGTTAATTTAGATTTTCAATGCAATATACAATTAAGTATACTTCAGAATTTTTCAAAAATATTACTTTTATGGGGGCAAAATTATGCAATATACTGCATATATTCTTTAGTGGTTTTTTGTCCTATTTCATTATTGGATTTTCAAAAACAAAATTTTAATTATGCACTGAAATTATTAAAATTATTGATGTTGAAGTTGCATTATGTACGTAAGTGAGCATTAATTTTTTGATATACACTGTAATATAACATATACATTGATATACATACTCCCCCATTTTTTATCTTTTTTTTTTTAATCTTCAGTCATTTTTAAAAATTTTTGTTTCTTTAAAAAATAATTAATCCCAGATGCAATGAATAGAAACAAATATTACCTTTAATCACATTTATTGTAAAACAATGATTACATTTTGTGGCAAGTATTTGTCACAATCTATTTATACATAGATGTAAATACCCCGGCGGAATCCAGGGACTCACTACCTGCCGACTGACCTGGCGCGATAGCGCTCCCACAGGTTACTGTGGTGGGAACAGACCTCTTGGAACCCACAAGAGTGAATGCCACATGGAATGAATGAATTCAAGTTCTGACCCAGGTCCTCACTCTATACCTGTCTCCCCTGGAATACAACAACATGGGGATAACACCCCCAGGGGTAGCTGGGTACCGTAGACCCCCAAAACCTGCCCTTGGTACCATGAAATTTTGCAACATGTCTACCCTTCTAGCTTTTTCGGTAGATTATTACAATCTGCGTCATAAGGCGCTTGATAATATTACGTCATCTTCCATAGTCTCGATGTTTAACTACTACGATAAGAATGCACGAGTTATCGCCCTTGCACTGGTATTAAATGCATTTATCAAAATATGGTTATAAATGTGATTCCATTCCACGTCGGAGTATTGCACCATTATAAACCTAACTACATGTACGATATATATGGCAAGTCCATGCATCAGCCAAGTACTGATCAAAACCACATACCTCATTATTTGAAAATGATTGTAAATAAAAATAGAAAACTTCTTTTTTATTTCTTTTTTCCCATGCACACTAAGATACACCTACGTTAATACCGATGTTAATAATAGCAGTCTTATGAAGTATAATTACACATGGACAGTTCATGCAGCTTTTATATAAAGAACTGAAAAAGGGAAAAAAGAAATTTTACACTAAGAAAGGATAACCTGTAAAAAATGTTCATAAAAAAAAATATAGGAAATAGAAAAGGCCAACATAATGAGCCAAATAATTTGCTGTAGGACTGAAATAAATCATTTTAAACTAAACTTTTAGTTGCTTTAACATTTAAACAGACACTACTGAGCATCAGAGAAATCAGTTGTTTTTTTTTTTTATTTTTCATGAGTTTGTATAGAGAGAGAGTATTTTTAAAGACTCCATGTAGGTACGCTTTTGACGATATATTTCAATGTATTTTCTTAAGTGAGGACAAATCCTTTTTTATATTATAATGAAGTATAGCGCTCTTTTTTTTTTTTTTTTTAATAAAAATATGGACTGAAAATTTGCACATAAACAAAATGAATATTTTTAAAAATTGTTATGCTGATTTCAAAATAAATAATGAAATAAATTGATTGTGAACTTTTCGAACAAACCTCATACATTCAATAATGAAGGGCACAGTGTTTCCTATGATTATATTATGTCATCAAAATTAAAGTTATTTCAAATTTTTAAAAAGAAAGAAGAAATTAATCTAACAACTTTTTATTGTCATTCATAAGAATATAAAATTAATGTATGTGCTTGTACATGTATATACTCTAGTTCTTTTAAAAGCTTACCTGACATTTCAAAGCAACCATGAGCTTTTTCCCATGAGTTTCTGTCATCTTGATATGGATTGGATATTTTGGACCGATGACTTGAACTTGCTATTGTGAATACCGCGTCATAAGAAGGCGGGGGATTTTTGAAAAGAAAGGCATCAGTTGACAATCAATACACAGTAACTGCATCCTTAAGTGACATGTACATGTATAAGTAACATGTATAAGTGACATATATAAGTTACATGTATAAGTAACTGGGATCGAATCACAGGCATAAATTTTCAGTAATAAATTTTATAATCCCATCATAGTATTATAATTATTATTATTATGGGTCAAAACATCTATTCCAAAAACAAATGTCTATGCCATGAATACTGTAGATTCCTAAATATACACGTGGAATTAATTATCGCGTAATTTCGCGAGAAGCACCACATGCAAAATAAAATTACTCGCCTTTTTTTCATGGTACTGAAATATATGTAAAATCTTTTGATCAACCGTCCATTCCTGAATTATTATTCTCGCGATTTGACGTTGAAGAGCCCATTCGCGATTATAACTACTCGCGAAAAATAAGGAATTTACAGTACCTGAAAGAAAGGAATATTTTGCATATCAAGTAACTGTTCCTTTGTACATGTTTACCACACATATATACATTAATGGTATATATATACTAGATCTTTTGCGGTTAAAAAAATTAGAATTAAAGTGTTCTGCATGTATACTGTCACACCTCTTTATAAAAGTATTTTTTATCTTAGTTAATCACATGTTCAGTGTATTACTTGCAGTTTTTTTTTATCATTGTCATTATTTAATCATAAAATGACTTTAACGTGTTTAATTTAAGAAATTACTTCTTAGACATCCCACTCTTCTCCAGAAACTATTCCTTGGATTCCTTCCATGCTCAATGTTTCGAATACAATGAAAGAATCCTGCCACTTACTTATTTCTTGCAGCTTCTACATAAGCTGATCCTCCTGTTACATCAGACGTACCCGGTCCTGGATACATTGTAGGTGCCGATGGAGGCACGTTTTTCTTTTTCATATCGAATTCACTCACGGACTTCTCAAGGGCAGTCTCTGGCTACAATGTATTGAATACAAGAAAACCCCAAGGACTAGATTCAGTTGTGCGTACTCTAAAAATATATATTGAGCAATCCTTCGTAGGTTACTGGTATCCTGTTTTGTTGTCTACTGCGGATGCATTAATAGCAAGCCCCTAAACACGGGGAGGGATAGGTCAAATAACAAGGCAATTATACATGTATAGTCCGATTTAAAAACTCAGCATAGTAATAAAAGCACCTTTCTTGTCAGTATGATTTTTCTCTTGATCCCTAAAATCTTACATGTAATTTTACTTAGTCTTAACTTTTCAAAAAATATGCCATATACTAAGTACGTCTTTAAGCAAAGGACAGACTGCGTTGTGAATGTATAATATCTAAAGTGCACGATAATTGTTAGAAATTGCTTGTTAAACTAGTTGGCGAAGATTTCACTTAGAGAGAAATTTTATGTGAATATATGCAAGACATTTAACATTGTATAAATTTTGAATAAGCAGATAACACTTTCTGCCAAATATTTGCTAAAAAGAATACACAGTCAAATGCAATATATTCACAGTATTTGAAAACAAGATTTTTAAACGATCATTAAAAAATGACTCATGTACAAAAAGGTGGAAGAGAAGGAAAAAATACAATATTACAACTGTTCAAGCTGTAAGCCTTATTATAGAAATGTCCTTCATCATGTGCAATAATCTAACCTAACACTAAAATCACTAATTTTTTTTAATGTGTAGAATATAAAGTAACATTTCCTGAAAAACAAAAATTACTTTTGGCGAACATTTGGCGACACATCTGTTTCATACTTGGATATTTTACTTGAAAAAGACACTAATGACAATCTTACAACCAAGCTCTATGATAAACGTGATGACTTTAACTTTTCTATCGTCAACTCCCCTTACCTATGCAGCAATATACCTTCATCACCTGCATACGGAGTTTACATATCTCAGTTGATTCGATATGCTAGAGTATGCTCTACATATGAACTAAAACGAGGTAAATTATTGACAAACAAGTTGATGAAACAGCAGTCTCGTTTAATGCCATCATTTCGTAAGTTCTCTGGTCGATACCATTATCTTTTCAGCAAATACCGTATAAAAAGAATTTTTAGCGAGGATTTAATTTTGGCTGTATTAGCAAGGGTTCTGACGTCGCTAAAATTTAATTGTGTATTATTTGTAATAGCTTCTTTGGTTAGCATTTGTAAATCGCTAAAATAAGTATTGCTAAAAATAAAATACCAGATTTTATCTAGAAATCGCTAAATCTGCGTCTCGCTAAAATTTCCACTTATACGGTACAATTTATCTGTGAGTCAAATGCTGGCTAACATTTTTTCATACTAAATGTTAGTCCATTATTTATAGAGTCACCGAATTGACGACAGATTTTCCCATTATTTCCCGATCATGACAAGGAGCACTCGGTGGGTGTATCAACCGGTCGGCAGGGGATGCTCACTCCTCCATGGCACCTGATCCCACCTCTGAAGTTTTGGAGGTCCGTGTTTGCTCTGCTCCAATTTTGTATTGTTTTATGGACTTTGATATTGAATACTGTTCGTTATCTCTATATCCTTCATTCTGTAATAGTTTATAATTTGTTTATATTCAGGCATACACAAAGTTAGATGCCCTATTTCTATCCTTATACTGTAAACACTTTCTTCTCTGTACTCATTTTGTTATTTCACAAATACACAAAAAAGCACTTCCAACACATTTTTCTACACAATCTAAAAAGCTGGGAAATAATAATATACATGTAGCACTGCACACAGATATTAGAAGTATTATGTAGTTACAAATTTGAATTATCTGAAATGGCTAAAGATTATTGCATGAAAAGGAATGTTGGGAAACATGTCCATATTTGTTTATGCTTTGCTGCAGCACCCATTACGTTTTTGTTTTAGAACAGCTAACAGTCTATAGTTGTCATTATTTAAAACATCGTCGTGTGACACTAAAGCTACAAAATCATCTAACAAAGAGGCAAGAGTTAAAGGTGAAGGTACATGCTTGATAAACATGTTTCTGCAGTGACGCTCATCGATGTTTAAAAGAAGAGTCCAGAAATTAACAAAGTCTCTCTCTCCTAGAATCAAATTTTTCTTCCGATATTCTTCTGTTGAGAAGAAATCGAAGAACTGTGTTATTATTGGCTTAAATTTGCCCGGCCTTAGGTCGGGTTCTGCAAACCCTTCTAAGTAGCATATGTAATCCTCAAGACATATATCTTTTCCCGGACCACACTTGAACACGTGGTCGTTCCACCATTTCTTTTGTTCCTCTTCTGATGGTGCTGAATCTTTGCAATTTATAAATAAGCGTATCTGTTCGAGTTTAGCGTTTGTTTTCTCCATGTCGTCTGCGCTGATGACGCCATCTTGATCTGCATCTAGAATTCTAACCCACTGGCGCCATTTATGATGTAGGAACCAACGCTCTGTTTATAAGAAGTACGCATAGTCACATATTAGTCAAAAATGAAGAATTGTACACAAGAGTTCTTTAATATAAAATTACATGTATACTCAACAAAAAAAAGAAACGCATATTCAGAATAATATAAAAATCTAAGTTTTCAGTTTAAGCCTTATTTTATTTAAGCGATTTTAGAGTGTGTTGTGATAAAAATCAAACATGTCCTATGTTGCAAATTGAAAAGTCAAGTTGATGTCATTTTCATCGCCCCTAAATTCAAGGGGCATAACAATATGTATTGTGCGACGTCTCAACGCTAGTGGGTTTCCAATGTACGGATGTCATGGAGGAATACCATCTCCTCTCAGTCTCTTGCGAACAATTTATGCACTTTTATGCTGATTTTTTATCTAGCAATTGCAGCAACAGTTTTTACAGCAAGTTCTGAATCGCACGAGGTACTGAGGGGGGGGGGGGGTCTGACGGTCCTGCCTGGGTGTGATTACCTGCGGACGGCCAATTCTTGGTCTTCCGACGTTAGTTTAACGGTTACAAAGCCCACTGATGTATTCCAAATGCAGTTGCAACTTCTTGTTGCGAAGCTCCGTTTAGTATTATCGTTAGCCTGGTTGAGTTCATCTTTGTTTCGGCGTGGCATTGCAGCATCAACACTGCAATCAAATCTTAAATATGGGTTTAATAAGAGTGTTAATAGTTTCTCTTAATCCAAAATATCAACGAAAATAGACAGCCGATTTAGAAGAAATCAGGAAAAACACTACTTTCATAAACACGTTTAATCAAGGGAGATAATTCAACACTTGGGTTTTAAAACCCTATGTTGTCCTTTAAATAGGTCACAGGTATCCAATGATATAAAAGATAGTTGTTCCAAGTACATTTTAAAAATTTCTTTGACGAGTAAAACAATATGCGTTTCTTTTTTTTGTTGAGTATATATTGTAATCCTTAAGAATGTTTTATATGATCATTAACAATACCGGTAACAATCAAATAAATATTCACAGTGGTTGGATAAAAATATTTAAAATAAAGAATACAAACATAAGATACCTCAGTCAGTTGAGCTTTAGGCCTTACATTCTATAGCTTCTGAATATAAAATGAAAGGTCTAAATATTTACTGAGGTATTTCAGTGTTTTTCTTCTTATAAGATTTTTGGATTTATATATCATCTTACTTTCTGCTGAAGAAAAAATAGCAATAGCTACTAAAATATAAGCAGCGTATGGCATTAACACAGCTAGCTGTCCTATTTTGGCATTGTAGTAAAAGTTGTAGAACTCGGGATGACAGACGGACGTGTAGTTAGTAAAGTCTTTGTCATACAAACTATAAATCTTTGTAGCTCCTGAAATTATAAGTTTAACTGTTATGTCATTTCATATCAAGGAAAAAAGGTATATTTTATTTGCTTGGAACATTGTATCTTGTGTGATCTATAGCTCAACGCACTTTCTAAGCTCACATGTTTTTTCGCACAAATTAAGGTCACATTTTCATTATGCAAAGTTGTGTAACAAGGCAACAAAATATAGTCTAGTATTTTAAAAGTGGTTTCTAACTTACTTTTAAGTTTTTTAAACTAACTTTAAACATAATTTTCACATAATAATTTATAGGATTTTGACAAACTCTTGGCTAATGGCTGGGGATAGTTCTAAAATGGTTGTTGTTGTTTCTCGTCAAATGCATCCGTCTATGTACCCTATCTTTTCAAAGCAGCTCGTTGCATTGTATTGATTCAAAAACTTTGCAAATTGTGTAACTTTTGTATTTTTGTACAATGACATGACACTAGAAAGCGTAAGATGAAAAGTATTTCTCATTTGTTCGACTGCTTTTGATGTTAAAAAGCTGGTGTTATTTAGGATTACTTTCTGAATCTAGCATCATCAAAAGTTCATCCGACCGTAAATTTTAAACTTTCAGACCGTAAATGTAAAACAATTTTCTTTGTAATGGTAACAATTACAATTTCAAAAGGTGAAAAAATATTTTTTATCCTGTCTTCTGACATGATTTCTTTATGCAGCTGTATCATTTTTCGGCGCTTTATTTCGACAAAACCACGACGGGTATGGAAAATGTTCAAAGTACTTCGAAAAATACTCAACCTTAAGATGACAATTTTGAAAATTTCAACTTAATCGTTTTAAAGAAAGCTTTATAATTTTTATTTGTATATACCTATGGTGAAATCATACAGATGTAACATCATATCATTTATTAGTGAAGTATGTCCCATTTAAATATCGACTTTAAAACTTTACGATTATGAATTTAAAGAATATGTACCTTTAAAGGTACTTGGACACAGATTTGAAGTTATTATTTTCTCTATAATATTACGACTTATATATTTTAATAGCATTTCACACAAAAATTAATTAAAAATCTTATTTCGTTTAAAAGATATTGAAATTTCAAATTTTTCGGCGGGTTTGATTGACAGATCGTTGCACTCTCACAAATTTAATTTTATTCTTAATCCTTAGGAAAAGTGGCAATCTCGTTTTGTATAAATGAAAAATATTAATACTATAATCCCACACAATATATTGTCAGTCCGTGCAGTTGTGGTAAGCAGACTGTGACGATTGAACGCACCCGGTGAATTCTAAATATAAACAATAACAGAACTTGAGCCCTGATTACAAAAACTGTGTACATAACACGAGTGTGCTCGATTTGCTAAACTCTGCACGCATCTCTTAGTTCAGAATGACGATACTTGTGAAGGTGTTTTGCTTTCTAACATTTCTACTCTGAATAAAATTATTTTTCTTGATAAAAGTTTTAATATTTCTCATTAAAACACTTCAAAATTGCCACTTTTCTTAAGGATTAAGAATAAAGTTAAAATTTATGAAAGTGCAAGGATGTGTCAATCAAACCCGCCAAAAAAATTAAAGTTTTAATAACTTTTAAACGAAATAAGATTTTTAATTAATTTTTGTGTGAAATGCTATTAAAATATATAATTCGTGATGTTATACAGAAAAAATGAGAAAATATTAACTTCAAATCTGTGTCCAAGTACCTTTAACTTGAGATATTAAATAATTATATATTAAGGCATTCTCTCGTATTAAAGGCCAATATATTTCATTTTATTGCAAAAAGAATGTGACCTAAATTTGTGCAAAAAAACCATCTGTGCTTAGAAAGTGCGTTGAGCTGTATATATCTAGGAACAAATACATTACAATATACAGTATATGTTAACAAAGAACTAATTATGCGGTATATTGCATATATTTGCCCCATAAAAAGTTTTTTTAATACTTTTTACTACTTTTAATACTTAAAATTTTTTTCATATTTTGAAAATTTCTTGAAATGTGCTATACTGTAAATATATTGTATGAGAAATCTAAATTAACAACAAGATATTGTAGTTTCAAAGTAATGTGGCAGATACATATTTTATTAATTTTCTATGCATACATGTATTTATTTTATACATGTATGGTAATTATGTTTTATTCTATTTAATTTGATTTGAAATGCACATGTTGAATAATGTAATTATTCAGTTTAAAGTCCTTTAGTGTGCATTCACCCATGGTCTGTCAATGAGTGTATATAGGTAGAAATGGCCTTAGGTCATTAATTATATCCTGGCCTAATGTTGGATGTTTCTTTTAATTTCATTGGTGTTTTATTTTGTGTTTTACTTGGGGATTGGTTCATGTTTTTCCCTCCAGAAGGTTCTTGGTTTTCTGGACATTCTTTGTCCAGAGTTTGGTCAGTTATGATGTGTTTCTGTTGATTTGACATTTTGACAATCAGACCTTTTCATAGAGACTGATTTTCTTCTCCTTCTGGTAAGTTAACAATTTATTACTAATATTAATATAATTCTTATATTTCAATTAGATGTCCAGTCAGTAATTTTGCATTCTTGATCTATTTCCTAAGCACTTTCCCTGAGTAAATGAGATCAGTGAAAATGATATTTTTAAAGTATGAGTAAATTTATAGAAAGATCTCATTGTTAATTATTTTTAAGGTAACATATTTTTATGATTTGGTGTGTAATATTGTGTAATTATTTACAGACCACTCAGGCTGTATGACTTGTATATGCAGCATTGCTGCGCATGCTGTACACACCTATTCCCATAGAATGGTATGCACATTGTTTTATGCTTATTCAGTAATATATAATGTTCAAATACATTATGATGATAGTTATTGTAAAGTTTTATGATGAATATTGATTGTGCTATAATTGCGGAGAAATATATGTATATTCTATGTGTAATGGATTATCTCCCTTGACAATCATTGTGTTTTTATGCTTAAATATTTACACTTGTTATATTGTTAATATTGCATGGTTTATTCTTATCTGGTAAATAAAAGTCTTGTCAGAACCCTCAACAGGCAGTTATTCTTCATTTGACAACCCCCAAGCCTGTTACAGTAAGTTATTGAATTTTTTTTTGTTTTCATGACGTCATAAACTATTCGGATTTTGTATTAATTTTCAGAAAGAGGAAAAAATATACAAGTTTTGTTCAATTTATGGAGCGCGGGTCTAGTCAGGAGCAATATTTACACATTCCATTGATATTGTCATTCTACACATGATATTAAAACACTGAGCAGACCTGCGCTCGGTGACTTTTGCTCAAAATATTGACGTAATATTCACTTTTTTCTGAAGAAATCATGAAAATTTTCAACTTCAGTCATTTTCATTACGTCATATCAAACATATCACGTCATGGCTTATGAAAACATTCATTGCTTTTGAAGTCTGCAAATATCCCCCTGTTTCAAAACATAATTATTAATTTCTCCGTCAAAGTTTGATTTGGAGGGGGAATATTGGCCATTACCGCATAAAGTCCTTTGATTTTAACAATTTTATACGAGGTACTCACCACCAATACATAAACCGAAAACAGTGATATATAATCCCATGCCAAGAAGAAGAAAAATGCTTCCAAGAAATTTTTTGCCGTCCATATCAGGTCTGGATAAACGTTTCTTGCGGCGATTGTCACGAAAAACAGTAATCCTCCGCAAAAAGACCACTAGAATGGTGGCACATAGAACACCACCCTCTGCTCGTATAAACGTTGTAAGATTTTCTTCGTCCTCCTTGTCACCGTCTTCATTAAACTTTATCCAGTAACACTGGCCACTGTATTTAATACCTTTATGAAAGAGAATTGTCTAAGGAATTTGGTTTATTGTTCTATTTAATTATTGCATTTTCAAACAAAAAAAAAACAACAACAACAACAACAACCAAAATCGCATAATGTACGAAAGTCAGTATTAATACTTTAACACACATGTACATTAATTTTACATTCACTATACATAAGCATTCATGTACAATGTACCTCTTTGTTGTGCTTTTTTTCATAAATGCACTAATTGTATGAAACTCGTAGTTTGATTTGAAAAAAAAATAAGTTATTACATGTAGATACTTCAATACATGATATACCCATAATGTAAAATTAAAATTCAAATGTTTTCTTTTTTATTCTTCCTCTTTTCATTTTTTTTTTATTTTCTTTTGTATATGCTTCTTCAAAAATATAAAAATAAAATCCCCATCGTAATATTGGACCATTATTAACCTAACTAAATTGAAGGACGTGCATGCATCAGCCAAGTACTGTTCAAAGCCACATAACTCCTTATTTGAGACATTGTGATTGCTAATTTGCATATACATAAAAATGGAAAACTTAGTATCCATTTCCATTGTTCATTGCACTTTACAATGAACAGTATGCTAATAATAGCAGTCTTATAATGTATAAAATTTACACATGTACATGTACAGTTTATGCAGTTGTAATATAAAGCATTGGAAAAAGAAAAAAGAGGAAATTTAACAGAAAAAGGAATTACCTTTAAGGTAGGATTCTTCTCTGGTTTCTGACTAAATGAAACATTCAAAGTATATTTGCTTATCTGTCTTATAAATTGAGGTGTAAGGAATTTGAAAGACCATATTTTTTCTTTCCTGATCACAATTGTACAACTTTAGATAGAAATGGTAAACTTCGTTTGAAAACTAGCAGGGACTATATTTTTGGCGGAATGGTGGCGTATGAAAATATCTTCTTTTCTCCCTCTCAAAATTATAATAGAACAATGAATTTAGCTATAATTTTTACACAATCGAAGACTTGGAGAAATTTTCAAATGTAAGTTGAATTAATAATGAGGGACGAAACTTTCAAAATATATCAAATAAATAAGATTTTTCAAACAAACTAGAACTTTATTAGCTTTTAAACACTTCCTATCAAAGTGCAGATTTGAGCCAAAAATCCATAAAAAAGTATTTTTTCTCTTTTAGCAAACGATCAAAACTTTTTGTTTTTGTATCATTTTGTACATTTATAAAACTACTTTATTATATGTGAAAATAAGAAAAAGTTAAATATAGGAAGCATATGAAAATAACTAATATATCCTAAAAAATTAAGAAAAACAGAGAAAATTCGGATTAGCCAATATCCAGTTAAGTTAAATCATTTATGTTAATTTAGTAATATCATGCTATAGACCCGATATAGTAATATGTTTTTATGCAAAAAGAACAATCATTTAACTGTTGAAATAGAAGTAGGTATCACATGATTGGCAACAGTTATTTTTTATTCTTAATGTCAAGGAAAAAGACAATGACCTTGACCTGACCTTTCCTCGAAAATAAAACGGTCAAATTTAACTTAACTGATACTATCACTTACTGATATTGTCTTCTTGATTCTGTGAAAATTTCATTAATTTTTAATTATTAGAAATATGAGAAGAATCCTACCTTAAGAAGTGTCAATAGTGTGACTTGAAAAATGAAATATTTGACTCACCGTAAAAAATATAGGAAAAAGAAAAGGCCAACATAATGAGCCAAATAATCTGCTGTAGGACTGAAATAAATCATTTAAAACTGTACATGCACATGGTTTAACAGTTTAACATATATGTTTAACAGAAAAAACTGAGCAGCAGGGAAATAAGTTTTTCGTTTTTTTATGAGTTAGTATGGAGATCGAGAGAATATTTTGAGACTCCATTAAGGTACGCTTTTGACGATATACTAATCTCCTGAAGTGCGTTCCCTGAGGACAAATTCTTTCAATATTATAATTAAAAAGCTTGTATTAAAACATATGGAATGAAAATTTGCACATGAACAAAATAAATATTTTTTGATATGATATTAAATGAATATTAAAATGGATTGTGAACTTTTCGAACAAACCTCATACATTGTACGATGAATAGCACAGTGTTTCTAATGAATATATTGCGTCATATTTCAAAAAGTTATTTCAAGATTTCACAAAAAAAAAAAAAAAAAAAAAAAAAAATAGAAATTAATCTTCTTACAAATTTTTATTGTCAATTATGAGAATATATGTACATGTATATATACTCTAGTTCTTTTAAAAGCTACCTGACATTTCAAAGCAATCATGAGCTTTTTCCCACATATTTCTGTCATCTTTATAGGGATTAGATTTGTTGGACCTCAGATGGCTTGAACTAGCTATTGTGAATACCGAGTCATAAGATGGAGGAGGATCTTGAAAAAGAAAGTAATTAGTAGACAATCAATACACAGTAACTGCATCCTTAAGTAACATGTATAAGTAACATGTATAAGTAATATGTATAAGTAATATGTATTATATAAGTAACATGTATAAGTAACATGTATAAGTAACATGTATAAGTAGCCGGGATCGAATCACAGACATTAATTTTCAGTGATAAACTTTAGAATTATTTTACTATGGGTTAAAACATTTATTACCAAAAAACAAGTGTCTGTGCCGCGAATACTGGTAATTCATGTTACGAAACAAAAGGAATATTTTGCATATTCAGTTCCTTCATACATGTTTGCCATACATATACATAGATCTTTTGCAGTAAAATAATCATTAACATTAGAGCCCTATAAGATGCATTATGCGGTCACTTCCCTTTAAAAGAATATTTTTCAAAAAAAAAAACTAACTTAATCATTTGTTTAGTTTATTACTTGCAGTGTTTCGTTTTATCATTACCATTATTTATTAATAAAATGACTTTAATTTAAGAAAATACTTCTCAGACATCCCACTCCCCTTCAGAAACTATCTCCTGGGTTCTTTCTATATACATCACGTACTGTATGCTCAGTATGTATCGAATACAATGAAAGAAATCCGTCACTTACTTATTTCTGGCATGGTGTCAACTTCTACAGAAGTCACTGTTGATCCTCCTATACCATCAGATGTGCCCGGTCCTGGATACGCTGCAGGTGCCGATGGCGGCACGCCCTTCTTTTCCATACCGAATTCATTCACGGACTTCCCAGTCTCTAGTAAAGTTACAGTGTATTAAAACAAATATTAAAGAAATACGAGAAAAACACCACGACTTGATCCAGTGGTATCTACTCTCAAAGTTTAGTGAATTAAATATATTGAGCAATAATGTCAAAGGCTAGTGGTATCCTGTATTGTTGTCAGATGCGGATGTCTTTATATCAAAGCCCTCAAACACGGAAAAGTATATAAGTCAAATGATGACACAATTATATATATATATGTACAGTCCGATTTAAATACGCGGCATATAGAACTAAACGCACCATTCTTGTCAATATGATTTTCCTCATGATCCCCCATATCATGCACATATATTGAAGGAATTCGTTAATGATAAAAAAAAGAGTTCTATGAAGTTGTTCGTCCGTGTAGGCACCACAAATTGCACTAGTATGAAAGGAAGAGATTTTTTGGAGAGAAAATCTCATGTCGTTACGTTCTCTTTTTTTTACGTACATGTACGTCACTAAGCATGTTCCGTGGTCACGAACCATCTTGATTTTAATATAATGATGTCGATTTTTTAATATATAAAATAAGATGAAACTGCTCACATTAACAGATTAAAATTGACTTTTTCCCCACACGATAATCATTTAGGTCTATCTTAAATTTTCAAAGTTATAGAATGCAGAGCGATGTTGTTCCAAGTATACATTGTACTTTTGATTGACTTTCCTAAAGCTTTGTTGCACGAACTTAAACTCCAGCTGAAATGCAAATACACTTGAATTATCTTTCATTCTATTTCTAAATGTGACAAGTTCTTATTTGCCTGTCATTTTCAGCTGTTCAGGGGTATATCTATATATTTTTCCATTTTTTATGTTTACAAATATTTATAAATTAAGGTATACATTATGAACAATTTTTAAGTTCTTTTTCTTCTTTGTAAATCAAAAAAATCATATTCAAATTTTTCTGATCATTGGAATTGCCTGAGTAAGGAATTGTAAAATACCGTAAATATCAAAATTGGTTTTTAAAAAATCAATTGAAACTGTATCCATGTCCCTTTAATTACGAAGAAGTTCCATTGACTAATGACCCATGAGTTCACTGGTGAAGAAACTTCATATAATGTACCTGCACCATCTCCATGAAGACGTCTAGCCATTTCAGCTGATGCTTAAATTATGTGAACAAGTTTGGAATGATAAATACATGTATTATTCAGTAGGAAATTTCGAATTTAGATACCAAATTCTACTCTCTGTATTAAATCCTAGAAATTTAAAAACACACACACACACACACCCTCACCCACACACACACCCTCACACACACAAATCTACATACATGTGATTATAACAATAATATTAGTATGTAGTTTTTAAACACTGGGTGCACTGAATGTTTATATACATACTAGTAATAATTATAACAGATCGGGGTGCTCTCGAATTTCAAAGAGTCTCATTTTTGGTTTACATCTTGATTAAAATGGTTAATATACTGTATTCCACCTATGAAGTAAAAGAAATCTTCAGAACAAAATAATTTAAAGTGATTGATTGTACACGTTGTTTAGTTCCCATTCGAGAATTTCTCATTCTATAAAGAAGACATCGTGTACACTAGTGAAAGATTTCAAGTTTTATATCCATGTATAACTGGAACTTGGGAGTCGTTATGCAATGAGGGATCTTAATTGTGCCAACCTTACAGTAACACGGCACTTCGGTTTTTAAGAGTCATTCTCTGTAAGGACCACAGATGCCGTTCAAACGAATACCACAGATTTTAATAAAACATATATAGAAAAATTATGAATGTGTATGAGATTAATTAGGTATATTTAAAATTTTGGGATGTGACCTATCCTCCAGGTTATGGCCCCCTTACACATTTTGTGGCTACCCCCATGTTTGAAAAGGTCAGTTTTCTCCTAATTTAACATAAGAAATTCAAAATAAATAATGCACTATGGTTGGATTAAGTGCATTAAATTGTGAAAACAAGGTGTGAAGTAAAGATAAAAAATTATTTTGGTTCATCACTAACACTCCTTTTCATTTAAAAGAAATTTAGTTTCCTCCCATTTTTAACCCTTGACAAATATGCTAAATAACCATAATTTCAGTGCCATTTTATGAAAAATCCCAAGATAGGTTTATAAAATATTAACAATATTTTGAAAGCAAACATACTTGATTATTTATTCATAATTATTTTGGGTGTGTGTTTTTTGATTTAAGAAAATAAAATGCATTTGAAAATTTTAAAAAACCAGCATTTCACAAAAATATTATCTCCCTTTGTAGAACTCTCTAGTTCCGACAGTGAAAGAAGATAAAAACAAAAGTATTTGTAAGCATGACGTTTTGCCGGTTTTGAGTTCCTTTTCACAAACCATGTGTTTTACTGATATTTTTAAACAAAACTGCTAAGATTATACAGTATAGCTTCCTTGGCAGATGTAATATTCTTCATTCTGAAGACATTCAACAACTCGTGAATTTCAGCAATGGCCATGTAATGTCTAAAGTAGGTCGTATGTCATGTGTTACACTTGCTAAATACAGTGAATGACTATCGAATGTGGACGTTATTTTAAGTTTTCTTCAAAATGAAATACAAAGAGGTCCAGAAGCAAGTTAAGTCAGATTCCAAACGTTCTAAGTTCCCACCTACATATTGAAAAGACCAGAGGAGATAGACCAAGAATTCCCCTCCAAACAGAACATGTGAAAATGTGGAAGCAGGTCATTTGATTGGTCAAGCTGGTGCAACGCTACCAGTGTTATACACCATGCATGTACCCGTAAGTAGCTACAATTTCTGATACACAATATATTAATATTTGTTCGTAAAGTTATGAGTATGATGAGTACATGAAATTATTGAAAAAGAATTGAGACAAAATGAATGTAAACATTGGCGTCGGAAGCAAATTGAAAGTGGGGGGGGGGGGGTGGTGTAAAAAAAAATATAAATATATAGACACCACCTTTTCCCCTTTTTTTCGTCTCTACTGCGACGTGTCTGTGGAAAGTGGTGGAGCTAAACCTACAAAACAATGTTCAATGTCTACACTAAGTGTATATTTGGAAAAAAAGGGGGGGGGGCTAAGTCTATACAAAGTATATATTTTGAAAAAAAGGGGGGGCTATGCCCCTCTAGCCCTCCCCTCCCCCCTGGTTTGGACGCCTATGAAACAGGTACCGTACAGTCCAAAGACCATACTCAAGCATTTCTACCTACCTATGAAGGTCTTTGAAATTGGTAAAATACTTACTTTGGGTAGCTTTAACCTACATACATTGTAGCTACTAATAACTATGGGGGTAGAATAAGAAATCATCTTTGGACTTGACCTTGTAAATTTCATTTTCCTTGTTCTGATCTTAAACACTATATAATGATGTATGCATATAATGTTTAACATGATATAAATTAAACAGTTTCTCCAATTTGAATTATTGTCAACACTTCTTTATTTTAGACCTGTCAACATACAAAACTAAATAAAAAGTACTGTTAAATATGTGGTGAATGGCAAACAAGTTAACAGCTCATTCTTATATACATTGTGCTTTAATTAGTACCAGTAAGGAATTGAATTATTTTTATAAAAATATACAATTTATTGTAGAATGCTGCTGTGTGACCATGTGAGGGACATCACAAGGAAGGGGAAGATATTTAAATCATTCATAGAGCCTTCAACATCTTATTAAAACCAAATTATAAAGAGGTATAGTGTCCATGTACTATAATTTTGACCCAATGGCCTTGACTTCTATATCTTTAAAGAAATTAGACATTGGTAATAAATATTGAAGGATAGACAATACAGCTTTCATGTTCCATATATACATTAACTATTATTATTGACCCACTTTCAAAACTTATAAAAGCATAATTACTGTTAATCTTTAATGTTCCAAATTCTGTCCTTCTGAAATCATCCGTATTTTTCTATACAAATATTTTTTCACTTCAAATTCCATTTTTGTCAAACTTTGAATAAGAAATTAAATAAAACACTGTTAAACTTATTCATTGAAACATGACCCAAGTTGTTATTTTCAAAATCTTTGACAAAAGTTTGTTCCACTTTCCTTAAGGAACCTCTCTACACTGCACACTAAAGAGTTAAGATTCTGTTGTATTTTTTTGCAGTTGACTGATCTGCCCCACAGGTAGTTGTGGACAGGACCCCCCCCCATCCACCCCAATATTGAACCCCTTGGGCTTATTGGATTTTTTTTTTAAATTATATTAATTACACTTATTCATCATGTGTACAATATGAAAAAAATTGTCAAAATCCCAAAACAATCGCTCTACAAAAAATATACCCACTATAGTGGGGTATTTTTTTGTGGAGTGATTGTTTTGGAGTTTTGGCGATTTTTTCATATTGTACACATGATGAATGAGTGTAATAAATATATTTTTTGAAAAAAAAAAAGTCCAATAAGCCCCGGGGTTGAATATCAGGGGGGGGGGGGGGTTCCTGTCCACAAGTACCTGTGATCTGCCCTTAGATTTATATGCCAATAAATGTACATTTACAGTATATTACTCAGTTTATAATCAAATCAAGTATTCCTTACATTTTAAAAGGGCAAGATAATTTAAACTATGAATTATAAACATGTTATTTACATGTATCTTCTCCATAGAAGTAAATAGCAATTATTTCTACTGATACTGTGTTGTGTTTGAACATTTTTTCCTGGGGGTAAATGCCATGTATCATGTTTTGAAAATGAAATATATAAGTTTATTATTTATAGCTTTATTCAATATAATTTTCGCAAAGTCAAAAAATCATTTTGCACTGGTGAAGAGAGGATGTATGACCTGTTACATGTACAAGTGTAATTTTTTTCATGATCCATTTGGTTCCAGTAGTGATTTTTAACTTAAGTCTTGTATTATCTAAATCTAAATACTTGTATTGTCTATTACAGAACTCAAGAAGCCAGAGTTTTACATTTTTGTCATGACAAGTCATGACATTCAGCAAATGAATCTTTATCCGATGAGAATTAGTGAGAGTTTTCAGAGAATAGGAGATACTGGTGGGACACCTTCACTAAGTCTGCTAAATTATACTACGTACAACAATATAATGACAAAACTGACTGCTGCAATTCTCTCAAAGAACATCAAAGAAAGAGTGAAGAGTCTTACAGTATCTGAAGAAAATCCAAGTCTTGCCTAAAATTATACCTGAGGGAATGCATAATTACATGGGTGCACTATGCACTACTTTGCATATGTTTCAAATAATTTTTAAAGAATATTATAATAATTAATGTACATTCTTAAATAAAAGGTAAAAAGTGTATAAACAGAAGTCTCATTGCATGTGAAATGATAATTTGATCCTTTGTTACAATTATTGAATTTTTTTAAAATTGACAGAAAAATGAAAAACTAAAGAAACCTATGTCAAAAGTGTCAATTATTATTTTTAAGGCTTTAACTTGGATGACAGAAATATTAACTGATAAGAGCGAAAAACTACCTATTGTACATCTATGTAATTTTTCACTTAAGTATGTCAATCACCTAATATTCCTGCTAGTGGCTCTTGAGTATTTCATAGAAAATATAAACATTATTTTTCACAATATGACCAACAATTTGCCCCCCCCCCAATATTTTGCCAATATATAGAATACTATAAAAACATAGCTACATGTACTATATGCTTGTGCCCCCTCAGTAAATACATTTAATGACCTTTTGTCCTTATTTTGCTTTCTAGAAATTGTTGGTATAGTTTTCACTGAGAATGAATGTTTGAGCCCCCCCCCTCCAACTGAAATTACCTCTTACGGGCCTGTAATCAAGTTGAAAATCTGAATGATAAGAACTCTTATTACTTATGGCCTCATTTTACTTTTGTTTTCCCTATTCTGCTGGTATTATAATTTTATGACCTCAGTAATCAAATTATTTAGATATGTTGCTGTGAATGGTTTGTGTTCATGAATGCATACATATTTTGAAATTCTTCATTGTGTGTCAATCAATACAAGTATATGATATAATGTTTGAACTTTAATATACACAATCATTGCAACAAGGTGTTATAAAACACATAGAAAATCTACTTTTTTAATGACATATTGCAAGAAGTAAAAGTATTGATATAAATTGAAAAAGTTATAAAAAAAAATTGACTAGCCCGAACCTCCTCTGCACACCATAATCTTTTATATTGTCTTGAAAATATAATGATAATCATTTAATTTTCAGATTTAATTTTCAGTTATCAATTGTTTATTTAGTCCATTTAACCCATTTTGGAATAAACATGTTGTACTTCATAGCATTCTTTTTCTATAATCAGAAATCCTTACTTAAGGTCATCTCCAGTCAATTCCTGAAAATGTGGAGAAGCAATTATACAATATATTCTTCAGTTAACTTTTAACTTTTGACCTTAGTCTTATGTTTTGATAGAATCAGTAAATGAACTTTTCATTTACTCTTTTTTAAGCTAAATTTGTATCAAATACGTTTAATAGCTGAAGAAGATAAAATTGGAGTCATTGAACAGGTGTCATTAATCCCCAGCCTTTTCCTCATTAAAAAAAGGGGGGGGGGGTTAAATTGCAATATCTGTGTTTTCCTTTTATATCTTCACTATACCAACAATTCATTTAAAAAATGGATAAGTAGCATGATTAATATACACTTCAGTATTGTTAAAATGCAACCACAAACGTGATTTTGAACCGATAAAAACATGCAATGAAAAAAAAATTCCCTTGAATGGTTGACCTGGTAACCACTTCTGTGTTGCTATCCGCCACTAAAATGATACATTTTCACTCATTTTTATCATTTAATTTTCTCTTAAAGTTGTTTTACATAAACAATTATGTCCTCAAAAGAGAAAAACAACTCTTCAATATATACCAAATACAATGTATAACACAGTTTTCGAATCCGTATTTGAGGAAATTCGGGATTATTGGACATTTTCATTTTAATATTCCCCGAGTTATCTGAAAAACACATGTTGGAAAACTATATGAAATGAAAGACCATAGTTCAGATATTTTGAATAAATAAGACATTTTAAAAACCTATCTTGGAATCTAAAGATAAATGTAACTGAAATAAAGGGTAAAATGGGTTTTTCTGCATTTTGAAAAAATCATGAAATTTGATATTTCTAGCCTTCTATCAGCTTGAAACGCCTCAGGCAAAAGATTTAATTCCTAATTATTTTAATTATATAAGAATGCTTAAAATAAATTATATAATTGAAAGTGGTCATATTTTTCATGTTTAAAGGAAATATGGGGGTTAAAAATGCTATATTTCATGAATAGAACCTGTCAAAATGGCCATATTTGTGTTAGTTTCGGTTGCCATGGCAACGGACACCCCGAGACATGAACTAAGGTGGTTTTCTCAGTTAGACACCTGAGTACACTCTAAATACAAAAAATTACGTATTTCGGAGACATTCGTTTTTACGGCCCCCTTGGATTCTTTGGTTTTTACAGAGAATGACTCTTAAGTTCCCATCCGATATACTCGTTCGTAGCACTTCTAATTAATTACAGGTGTTTGGCTAATGTACAGTCACTTTGTTTACGTCTCGAGTTTGACACGCGATGCTGTGAAAGCCATCTAGAATCAAAATCAGACTTCTTAGATCCGCACCGTATGCACTCTGAGCAAGAAGATCTAGATTGCTGTGAAAGAGAGCTGAATCCAGGCCTCCCAAGCACTACGCTGTCATGTTCAGTAATTAAAAAAAGAAACTCTCTGTCATCAAAACAATTTACTGTACAAATAATCATTTTAAATAAAAAGATTCAACAACATAGTACATGTATTAAAACTATACTCATTAAGTGTAGCATAATTAAACTTTGTCAAACCATATACATTCGAGTGAAATTTTATAGTTAATGTTAAACCCTATTGACCGAACACCAAAGCAAATTAAAATTCTGTAGGTTCCTTAATACATAACCATACATAATTTTTGTGAGAAGTAAAACAGTTTTTTACTGTATGATAAAATAAATATGTATATATGTATAGTGAACTACCGGTTGCTGTATATTTTGTTCAAGTTTTCACCGGATACTTACAAAACCTACTCAAAATTAAGCAATTACAATAGGTGTTCTGATGATATAGCAGGAGGGGGGTGTGTGAAATTTTTTTCGTAATTTTTACAAATTGGTCTAGGGAATTATACTTAGAATTTGTTAAGAAATTCATACTTAAAAAAAGCCTTATCTGGATCTACGGTTGGGAATTATAAAAAAAAAACATATTGACTTTGATAATTTTCTTCTCATCCCTTATAGAAATAATTTTTAACCAAAGGAAAAATTGTACTGCAAATTGTATATTTATAGTGTATGAAATTTGGTGGATATTGTTAATTGATCTTATTTAGCAAAGATTTCAATTAGCAAAATTTTTATTTGTATGTGTTCATGCGCAAGAAAATTGCAATGGAGGATATTTTAATTCTGCCATACATAGTAAGGCAAAGAATACATAGCCAAATATAATAAATAAGTATACAGTACTTAAAAACAAGGTTATTGGATATGTGAAACTTTCAACAAAATTTGTGTAAAACAAATAAGAATTCCCAAAATCTAGGATTTATAATATACACATTCTATAAGCAATATATCAAGAAAAATCTATATAAATGTATAGGAGGAAAAAATACCTCATTACAACTGTTCAAGCTGCAAGTCTGATATAGAATATTACTTCATCATGTGCAATAATCTAAGCTAGCACTATAACCACTTATTATTTACATATAAAATACATAATAAACGTTTATTTCCTGAATAACAAGCGTGACTATTGGCAAACAAAACTGTTCATATTCAGGCATACAAACAATTAAATATACAATGTCACATGCCCTATTTCTATATTATTATGTACAGTTCATTTTAATTTACTGATTGTGTTATTTCATAAACAAACAAAAAAACCACCCCAAACACAATTTTTACCCACACAGTTGTTCAAGCTTGGAAATAATACTGTAGCACCTGAAAAACAAATATTGCTAGAATATTACATAGCTAGAGACATTTCATTAAGTTCATTGCTGGCTTTCAACACATCTTTGTCCTTGACATTAGATTCTTTGTTTGTTGACCCAGAACTGCCCTTGACCCCTGATGACGAGGCAGAATTTCCGCTTGTTTTGTTAGGAGGATCTCTTGCTCCAAATATGGTGGATCCCACTCGTACATTGGTACTTCCTAGTTCAATCTGCATAAATAGGAGTAAGACGTTTACTTCAAATACATGTATTTACCTATTTTTTAATTTTCTTTCATGCGGGATATGCTTATGTACAAGAATTCTATTCAACTTAAACTTGCTCTTATGCTCTACAGTTGTGCTTTTTTCATCAGAATGTGTTTAATTGCTAGGGATGGGTATCGCCAAAAATTTTGTATCACGATATATCACGATTTTTTCCCACAATATCATGATAATATCATGATATTTTTAAAAGCAGTTTTTACAATGATTTTGTATGAAAAGTCATTATTTTTCTAAAAAATTTGCTAGAAAAACAAAATTTTACTTTGAATTCTTGAAATTTTTATGGATATAAAATCAATTATGTTTGGATGGTAAGATGCAGTTCTCTTCACTTTTTACAACATTTTTATACTTTCTGTAATTTCAATTTGAAAGATTGAACAAATAAATGAATAATTTCTGGACTTTATAATATGTACCTAAAGACCGGTATTTAGGTCTCCGTATCACGATACGTATCACGCAACAAAAAATCGCGATATACCGGTATACTGATAAAATCGCACATCCCTAGTAATTACATGTAGTTAGTTAAGAAAAACAAAAGTTTGGGAGCTTAAACCTAGTTCAGGTTTAAAAGAAATTTGCAAGATGAAATTTAAAAATGCCCAGTCAGTTTGGAATAAAATTATTACATTTTTTTTAAAGAACATAGGTAATGTCTTTGATACAATATCATATGTATATACTAATTTTATTTCACAATAAGATTGATGAAGTGATTTTGTGTGTCAACTTTGCTAAAGCCTTGGATGATATAGAACTACTATTAATATCACTATTTTGCATATTGAATTGGATGATATAGAACTTCAGTAAAACCTGGTTATTATTAGTTACATAGTCTTTTAGTGACAGGGTATGGGATGATACCTGGTTAGTAAATTTCATACCTGGCGAGGCGGAGCCGAGTCAGGTATGAAATTTACTAACCAGGTATCATCCCATACCCTGTCACTAAAAGACTGTGTAACGAATTTACCCCACCGATGAAACATTTAAGTTTTATATGTAGTTTATAAAA